TACTAAGAGAGATAGACACATTAACAAAGAGAGAACAATAAAATAGTGAATATTAGATTAAATGTTGTGAATGTAATGTATGTGGGTAAGATATCACGGGAGATGAATGTGCGAGTGAAGGGATACAAACTTTTCTTGAAACACATTTCTGAATTTTCAGAATATGTGAAAAAACTAGAAAACAAGTCAATGATAGTACTATATGCAATAGGGTCGGACCATACCATTGATTTCAATGGCATAAGAATCCTACAAAAGGTTTTAGTTCTTACAAAGAGAGAATAGTAGTTGAAGTCCTACATACACGATCAAATCCAAACAATGCTAATAGCAGAGATGAAATGCAATTAGCTGTCTCATAACGACTAATGATTAATAAGTAAATCTGGACTCATTATATTTTACTTCATTTAATCTATTCATTATTATGTGGACAACAATGATTACTTTCACCTGTTCTAATCAGTTAGGTTACTGAATATACAATAAATAACCATCTTGGTCAATACGATAAAATAAAAATCTATTTTTTTGATTGAGATCTATTTGCCTACTTATCATCATTTTATGCATGTCGTGACGTTTGATTCATCATCTCTGTTTGAAATTCTTGTCAGTATATCGAAGCAACCTCCACAGAATACACAGATGCCAAAAGTGATTGATCACTCAGAGTCCTAAACATCAATGGTAAGATTCAAGCAACCAATATATATGAATTGAAATTTATCCCATTGCACAAGCCAGTGCTTCATTGCGCTCATTAGCTAAGTGGGTAACGTGGCGGGGTCTGAAGCAAAACTGTGGGCTTGAGTACCAGAATGAAAATCATCTCTGGGATACAGGTACATCTAGGTGACGAGTTCCAAACAGGACAAGACACTCATTCTGGATTCCGTTGCCAGGCAACAACGTTCTCTACTTAAGACATCTATCAAATTTTTTGGTTTATCCGAAAACGCTTACACAGAGATGACATATAATTAATCATTTTCTCGCGTAATGTTTACATACACCGAATGCCTCATACACATTATAACAAATTTCACTTTCAACATTGTTAACGTTGTTGGACCACTTGTTTGGCACAAAGTTCACCGGTGAACTATCCATGTATCATCGATAATTTTGATATTTGGTTATATTTCATTGGAAAACCTTGGACCAGATTGCCAATTGAAATGTTGGATTTGCTTAAATTTCAATCGGTGAGATTTTTACAAATATAATTTTCTTTCTTAATTTCCGACCTCTTAGAAAATATCAATGAGTTTCATGTACACATAGGTTTTATTTTGATGGTGTACTTCTTAAAGTAACTCATACCCAGGACATTACGGTTAGTGAACGCACCAATCATGTTTGAATTGAGTTGTATTGATACATTAAAAACTACTGGGTTAACAAATTCAAATGAACAGTAATTAAATTACATATTACACGCATATAGCTAGCTCCCTACAAAGCTGATAAATAATATCTATATATTGGCTTTTGAAAACTATGATTGAATAAAGTCGGTTTACCATCGTAAACAAAGTCTCCCAGTATCACTTGTACGTTTATTTTAAAATTCTATGAAATCAGATCTTTTTGTTTGCTTATTTTTATAGCTTTCGAAGTGTTCAGTTGGTTTTCTTTTGTTTCATTCTTCACATCATATCTTCATGTTCAGAGAGTACATCAACTATCGTTTTATTTTCTCTTTCAATCAACTGGATTATTCAATTCTGGTTTTTCTCTTTTTATTTTGTTTACTGTTGTGAATTTTTTCTACTGACATGTTCAAGTAAGGTGTAAACATGTTATTTTCTCATAAATGAAGGAATATCATCTATTCAACCTAATTTGCTAAACAAAGATTTGGAAGAGTTTCTTTTTATAAATGTCAATGACAATACTAGTTACAAATAGTAAAAACAAAACCGAAAGATTGAACTATAAGTTTTACTTACTTATAAGGTAGAATTAATAGATGGTCTAAAATTGTAGACTAAAATCACGTATTTTATTAAATGGATCTTTAAATTCTGATCAATTTCTAATCATTTGTGATAAGCGATTAATTGTGTTCATTATTATGTAATTTAATGAAAGAGACTGAGTAAAAGATTTTACTAAGGGAATAAGTAACAAACCCTGTAAAAACAGTAGTTGCTATAACAAATAGCTTTTTTTAAAAATATATAACAGTGCAATATCTAGAATTTTTGAGCATTATTCTGTCCGTTTAATGGTTCAGTGGAGCATATAAGAATGTAATTTTCGCTTAGAACATGATATTGATTATGTAAAGTTATCTACATACGGCGTCTATGAACGCGCTACTGTAGTTCATTCTGATTTGCCGGATGGAAAAAAACAAACAAATAAAGTGAACTTTACAGCTTGAAATGAAATCACAAGTGAAACCCATGCTCTTAAATGCAGAGTCCACTCATTAAATGGACAGAAAAATGCTTGATATTGCACACACATTAAGAAACAGATGAGCTGCAAATTCAAGGACATGTTTTCTATCCCCTGAAACTCTATTTCATATTTTTAAATTACTATTTAGTTTGTTGAACACATATGTGGTTACAAGTTTCAAAATTTAGTTTGTATTGTTTTTATTTTTTGATAATGAATGTGATAAACAGCCAGTTAGTTTCATAACAGTTATATTTTGCTTCAATAAGTAATGAGAACCTTGTAAAAATGTAGACCATCAACTAACATAGTGTTAAAGTTATTTACATGTTTCACATTATTACTGATCACATCTGGGTACTTTTTCAGCTAATTAACTATAGTATTAATAACATTGTTATATGGAACCAAGCCATCAGCTTCAAACATTGTGACGTATAGCATAAAAGCCTCATAAATTAAATATCTTATCGAATAACAATGTAATTAGTAATTCTCATACAGATTTACAGCTTTAGGAGATTATATCAGACGCCTTCTACTTTCAAATGGCTCCATTATGATTCGAATAGTTAATTTTGAGGACTGTAATCACTAGAACTAATCACAGTACATAAATTTAGTCTGTAATGTTGTGAATCAAGTAAGAATTCATTCCTGACTTAAGTGCATTCAGTTCAGAGGAAAAAGACGAAAATATGATAGTCATCAACTAAGAACGTGAGCTGCAATGGATTTGGATAAAATTGATCACGAAATATTTCCTGTTAGTCATAAGTAGCAATGTTATTCAACATGTTGTGAATACGTCGAGCCAAAATTTCCTCTCATCATATCAAGCTTATTTAGAGTGTTTTGATTTTTTGACGATAAGGCACCCCAAAAAATTATTCGATTAATATATATTAGGCAACTAACATCTACTGTAATTATACGGTGATCAGAATAACTCACAATTTGCTTTGTATATATATATATATATATATATATATATATATATGTATATGATCCTGCAAATCTTGATACCTGATCTAGATACGAGTAAGGTAATACCTGTGCATCATCTCCGAAGATCGGGATATTATGAGTTTTTCTCATCAAACATCAAATTATTGTACATATGCTACATATACTTATGATATTTATCCAAGTTTAAAAGAACGAAAATGTTATGAGATCAATCTGAAAGTGTAAAAAATAAATGTAGAATAATGGGCTTATGGTAAATGTGATATAATAGTAAACTAACCACACAAACAGTTCTAAATATAATTTGCTTTGAATTTATGCATTTTTACCGTAGATATTGCATAAAACTATTATATTCGTTTTAGGGATGTCAATTATTATCTGCTACTGTTTTTTTGTTTGAAATGAAAATATTTAAGGTAAAGTACTGTTACTGCTGTTTTCCGTACGATTGGAAATCAACCTATACCTATGAATTTATACTACTTGACTTAAATAAGCTAGTAGTACATGTGTTTAAAGAAAGAGATGTTTTCGGGTATTTTCATGCTATTTAAACAAACAATATTTATTATTGTTCACCTTGAAATCAGTCTTATTATGTTTACCGATAGAAGTGTTTCCGATTACATTTTGCCTTATTTTCAATACACTATAAGCCTATACAGAACTATCGCATAATGTGTAGGCATATGAGGTCAGACAAAGCAACTGAATTAGGTGGTCGTCATCATTATTATCATTATTATTACTGTTGTTTTTGTGTACACTCACACAATGGGCTATGGATTAGACAGATGAGGAGAGGACATAAAATCCCTAATGATTGGTAGGGCTATAAAATTTATTTTATGTTGTATACTAGACAGGCACAATTGTAGCACTTTTCTCTTTTCTCTCTGTCTATTCCAATGTTGTTCCGTATAGGATATTACACAAAGTAATAAACAGTGAATCATAAACCGTAGGTATTTCGAATATACATCTACGTTTATATTTATTTTTGCAGTTGTGACATTTTACAGCATCAAATTTCTAAGTGAAATTCTCCATGAAACTTAGGTGAGTAGTGTTACATCTAACCTATGTGATGGCCTATTCGATGTAGCAGCAAAAGGAGATAGGGAAATACAAACATACATATGTTTCTAGGTCAACTAACGCAAATGGGCACAGCTGTAGATGAATGTAAATTGTACATATGTGTAAGTTGACACACAAACGTACAGAAATATACTACTACAAATACACTAGATAATACATAAAGATATGCATATATATATATAGTATAAGTACATGCATGCAAATGTGATTACCATTTTCACAGTATATTAACGATCAGGTCATGGGGATAAAAAGTTAAATCGATTATTTATCAGGATATATGTGACACAAAACTAGAAAAACAGTGACATCTAATTTTAACTGATTATCAATTTCATAGTTTAAAAGCACTCCAGAATTATTTCTGTCGGTATAATAATTTACATACACAAATATAGAAAATTCAATCTTGGAGTCAATATTACACATATATTGTTATATTTCACTTTTGTTTAGTCATTGAATATCATCTGTGAGACAATAAATTCAATTATTCTGTGGTCATATGAAGGATAATGTTCAAATTCCATGTACTGTCCAAAGTGTAAGTCGATTTCGCAAATTAATTTGAATATAAATCTTCTATTGCATTATTTCTATCCATGAATTTTCTCGAGTATATATATATATATATATATATATATATATATATATATATATATATATATATATATATATATATAGCACATTTCGTTTATTAGATAGAAAGTTAAATCAGAAGGGGTTTTGTGGAGATTTCAGAAATCTCAATAATTGAAATCATGAGTCAATTGAAGCTAGACCACCATGGAAAACATGGAAACACTGGATCGCCGTTTCGTCCTAGTGTGGGACTTCTCAGTTAAATGCCTTCAATTTTTAAAGAAAATCAATATAAAGTATTCAATGAATGCTATGCTCTTGTTATATTGATCAACGATGTGTATTTATCATCTTAAATTTATTTGATTTCACTGTGATAATGAAGAAGTAATAGCTAAAATGTCAAGGTCATGACAATGGGCAGAACAAATATTCTAGGCATTTGACAGTTAATAGTCTAATTGATGAATAAATCATCCGTATTTCATTCAGTTACTGTCATTATTTAATATGATAATATGTGCCATATTTAAAAAAATAAAAATAAACCATTTAGATTTTCTCCCTTAGATAACAATGTAAATTCGCAAATCTGTAGATACATAAAAGTAGATTGTTTCCATTTGTAACTCATTACGATAAACACAAGGTAATTTTAGGGAACATTAGTGGTACAAATGGTACAAATAATTAACTGAAATACCAATTGTTCAAATTATGTAATATGTGTATGATCTGTTCGTCATCATTAAATAATTAGTTAACTAATTTACTATTTTTAGACTACAAAATTTAAACTTGTTAGAAGGTCTTATGTAGATTACAATGATTTGAATTATACTTACAATTTGACTGTTTAAATTAAATCTTAAAAGTGATAACTCTCTTGTTAACCACCTGAAAGGTGTACAGTTTGTAGCAAAGTATCTGAATTAAATAGTCTTTTAAAGATTTTGTATATTGTAAAGTTAAATTACATCAGTAACTGGTGTCAATTAAAGAGCAAAAAGTAAAGAATAGCAGTTTGATTTCGGTTTAATTATTTTTCGTAAAGATTAATCGCCTAGGGGGTAGTGTTACTACACTGAATATTTGAAGCTTCACGTTTCAATTCACTGATGTGGATTACACTTAACGGCCATTTTACAATCTTTGCATTGTTACCATTTAACAGTTGAAGGTGTATTCAACAATATTTGAGATGTTTAAAATTTCAGTTTAATAGCATCTGTAGCTTGATACATAAACTTTTTCTGACATATGATTAGTTTATGCTGCTCATCAGTACCGGTGTATTATAATGAATACTTGTTACAAAAGTACTCTGAATAATTTTTCTACCCTTTCTATAACTACAAGGGCGAATGATTAAAAGATCGAATGTCAAGATTTTAATGCTTCAAATATCAGTTCAATTCCAGTCTATACCTTATTTTTTAAACCCATTGAAAAGCTGCACATTTTAATTTATGTTAGCCCACTATTGTCCATTTCATTAAATACGTTTCTTGGTTTCTTATATATGAAATATATTGAACAGCGGATATCCAATTTTCGTATAATATTTTCGGTAACTGCGTTTGCACACACACTTATTACTTCACTTTTTTTCTTGTCTACTTTCAGAAACACATTACAACGATTGTTATATTTAGTTGGATTATATCTTGTAGTAATTGTTCAGTTGGTGAGATCTGTAAGTTTCTGTTTGTCATAAATAAAGTATTATTTATTACTTTTGATATTAATGATATAAGCAAGAACCTTTTGTATTTATTGAAGATTTTTTAAAATCGGGTCTTGTTTTTCAAGTGGATATTAGACTACCTCATAAGAAACATGGTTGCAAAACTGATTCATGCAAAAAAAGAAGTTATGGGGAAAAAATCCAGTTCCATCATTTTCAGAAATAACAAAAACTCTTTGAATTAGACCGGAGAAAAAACAAACTTTTCTTCTGTCACAACTTTATGGATTCAATGTCATTCAAACAATGTTTCCATATTTTCTCAAATGGTTGCTTTCATTTGTACCAATTTTGACAGTTCACTGATTTATTCGCAAAATCAACGTTAATTCTTTTAAGAGTTCACTAAAAAAACACAGTAGTTTTAGTACAAAGAGAGAGAGAGAGAAGACTTCATTCTGTCGTATTTGGTCATGTTTACACTAATAACTCTTTATGAGCTCATGTTTTTTTCTTCAGCATACAATATATACTCTGGAGATATCGTGGATTTGTGGAAGTTAGACATTAACACTGTTGGATGCCGGCTTGGTGGTCTAGAATAATTGATGAATGTATAAAATTAATACTGTCATCATTATGACTTCATGTAAATCAAATGTATAGTATCTGTATTATTTGTTATTGAAATATTTAAATTTCATTTCATATATTATCGTCTAAATAATTGTCATTGAGGTTTCATTTAAATCATGGAAATTACATTATAGGTTAAGTACAAAATAAATCAAGTACATAAATGATTGCAATTATATTTCAGGTTCAGTATAATTTTGTTACCACAATAATTTTAGAGATAATATTTCTGATTGTTGAATTCTGAAAATGATATAAATTGATTATACAATTAACTACGACTTGTCTGTGATGTAAACTATAGTATTTAATAATCTTCATAAACCTGTATGCTTATTAGGAACTAATTTCTAGAAATAATTCTGGAAGGTTTATTGTATTTAGAATACATGTCAGGTTGAATTTAACTATGTTTAGTGTGAGCGAGTTACTTATTAATAGAAGTTAAAGGTAGTTGCAAAGCATAACTTATTGACTGAAAATAGAAATATAGGCAGTTCGATGGTGGTTAAGTGGTTATGTGCCCTGCATGTAACTTATAAGCTCTGCGTTCTATATCCGATGGAGTTGTGGATTCAGACTCCTATCACTAAAATGAAACGAATCTCTAGTGGACCATAGTTTTAAGCAATTGTTTAATCAAGTTTACTCTGATGTAAACTATAAAATTCCACTATTTACACAAACCTCTTTACTAATAATCATGCACACATGTTCAGGTGATAGCATTATTCTTTAGTGAGAAAATCGGTCTTTTTTAATGCAATAGGTTCGTTTATTGTATTGGTAACGTTTTAAAGTTAACGAATGCTATTGTTTTTGATGCTACAGAAGAAACGAAATCAGAAAAAGAAAAGAATATTCTAAATGTCGAAAAAATTCTTAGTTGAAGATACATTATTATTATTACTATTATTATTATCTCAAATAATTTAGTTTTACGACACTTTATGTTTAATTGTTTTCAACAGTATGTAATTAATGTTAAGATCACTCAATTCAGTAACAGGCAGCATTGATTACTTTTGATCCTTGCTCTATTATGTAACAAATCATTTCCATCAAAATGTGTAAATTAGCTGAAACATCTTATGCAGTTTCACAATTTAGAGGTTTAAAATGATTGTGATTACTTAATATTGAAGTTTGAATTTTATTGAATTGAATATTTCTTAATTTTACCTACTGAACCTACGGTTGTATAAGAACTGGAGGTGAAACTATAATTTATGGACGACCTTTGAGCGACGCTAAAGTGACCTTGAGAGTGTCCACCTAATAACTAGGACCAAATGAGGGTTATAAACTTATCACAGGACTTCGAATTGTGATTTACAGTTGACGTACAGCTTAGGGATAATATTTAGTTTTCATCACTAACTCACATCGGCTATAATGCCAAAACTCTATTTTGCCAAGTTGATGAATGAATTTCGCGCCAAAATCCGAGACGTGTTATCTTATACCTGATTGGTTCGTCCATAAATTAGTCTTGCCGCTGATTATTTCAATTTTTCATAAGTAACCCATTTTCGGAGTAGCTGGATGTTATAAGGTGACTTATAATAATAATTAGAAATAAATTAGTGATAACATTCAGTCAATTGTAGTCAAAAATGTAAAATATTATAGTAAATATAAATGATTGGAAAAGTAATTAACTCAGGACTTTGAAGTGTTATAGAATTATTTCCAAGATAAATTAGGAGAATGAGGAACATTGATTAATTATAAATCAGCAACATTAATAACAATCATTCTACGATTTTTAGTAAATGCTCGTCTGGTAATAATTTATGCCTCAAACCACTAATATGAATTTACAATCATTTCCAAAACGAAAAGATCTTTCATGAACTTTATCGTCAATTTACAAATGTTCGCTGAAAACTTTTTATAAACAGTTCACAATGATAAAATTAAGTTTTCTTAGAATGTTAACATATGGTACTTTTAAATAGTAAAGATATTTGATTGTGCTTATTCGTCATATAGCAAATAATAAAGCTCATAAAACTTTGTTGTATCTATAATCCATTCTACTCAGATGATAGATTCCCGACATCTGTTCAAGCATTCAATCAACCAGAAACTTCACGTGTTTATAAAATAACTATTGGTATCATCTAGCTTAAGTAAAAATCGTTCCTCCTCTCGTTTGACTTCTAGTTGTACATTGATTCATTTCGCTCAATACCATGTTAGATGAAACCTGATAATTTGAAATTTTTATCGTTTTACGTTATAATTTAATTTTTAGTATAGGGTTGTAAAGATTGTTTAGTTTTTGATTCAGATCTTTAATGAATCAATGCTAGACTATCATTGAGAGTCCGGAAGCAATGGACGACCGTTTTCTAGTATAACATTACTCAGTAGTAAGCATCCACAATCTCGCATACGGGACTCGGACCCAGGACCTTCGGTCTCGCACGCAAACGCCTAACCTTTAGACCACTGAGCCGGCATCCATCGGTGTTGATGTTTAACTTCAACCAATCCACGATATTGCACAACCTTCCTCACACCAGATACTGTTGAATTCTACTGGTCACAGAACCCCAGGAAATCCATTCACTAATGATGTGGGGTAATTGAAATTGTCAACATAGTTAACATTTTAGCATTGTTTTGTTAGTAGAAGACGCTTTGTAAAAAACATTGCATATCATTACATGTTATAATTCTGAAGCAATTACATACACACACAGACAGGAATACAATTCAAAATAAATATACGTTTGTTTAACTTCTTACTTATAGTGAATACATTTAAATGTCATGATTGTTAGAGTTTATATTTTTCAATGTAAACCATTGACTGTTATTCTTATCAAGTTGAAAACTCGAAATATTATTTTAACAAAGAAAAAGTATTGAAGAAAAAGGTTAACTTTTTCTCTTGTAAATAAGGAATGGTTGAATTTAGTGCTATTTTTAAGTGTCAAGGCACATGACCTTGACATTATGTTGTAAATCGAATAAATAAGTAACTTTTATATAATATTGACGTAATGGATTATTTAAACTAAAGTAAGCTTATATATTGTGTAAACTAAGTCTTGAAACAAGACTGACGTTAAGATAACAACAATAGAGTCTATCATTCAAAAGTTTACATATATGTGGTAACATGACATCAATGTCTATTAACTGTGTTAAACTCTATTAATCTACATTTAGATATTAGATAATCAAATTAATTTAATATATGAACAATAAGCGATTTTTATTAAAAGATATCGTAATATGGTATCATCTTTAGTCAAAAGGTATTTGGAAAAATGAATGAAAAGTAATAATAGTAATAATTTACTAATACAGTTGGAAATGTACATTCTTAAACCATAAATAATGTAATAGTTGAATTCATGAGTCAATTGAAGCTAAACCACCATGGAAAATCATGAGAAACCGTCCTGAGTTGAATCCCGTGAGGTGGGATCGTGGATGCACACTGTTGAGGAGTCCTATGCTAGGATGAAACGTCCCTCCAGTACCTCCTGGTTTTCCATGGTGGTCTAGTTTTGATTGATTCATGAATTCAACTATTTAATTACCAATAATATCCACAAAACCCCTCTCTGATTATAAACAATGTGTAAATATATGTGCAAAATTAAATATTTTGTAAATAATATAATCAGTTAATCTCTTTGATAAATTTCGATAATGCAATGAAAAGACCAAGTTTATCAGAATAATGTGATATATTTGCGTAATGCAATTCGAACAATCTGATCACACATATACTTGTTAACCCAAGTAATAATTCTGATGAACTTCGTCTTCTCATTGCATTATCGAAAAGTAATCAGTTAAATTTATCTTTTTTAAAAGATTACTATCAGTTAATAAGTAGAGTGAACATTTTCAAAGTTGATTTAACAATGTTTCATGTTCTGACCTTTAGGCATAATATAAACAATGTATAGTTATTATGTTAAGTATACTAGTAAGATTGAAATGAATACAATACATTTGAAATTACACATTTATAAAATAAGAAGAAATTCAGTGATTTAACTTATTTTGAATGGTTTCATGTACAGCAAGTTTTTACTATTCATAATTGTATGCATAATATTTTCGTAAACTAAATTTCCAGTGATTTGCATATAAAAATCAGTTACAGAATAAATTATAGGTTTCATTATGTATACAGCCTTCTTGTTTACGAAATTGAGACAATGAAGAGCGAATGTTCGATGTTTTAACTGGGTTGGTGGACACGGAGAGTCTACCTAGGGGAGTTAGTTGAAAACCCTGATTCTAAACCAGTGGTGAACATGGGCTCCAGGATCCTGAAGGAATAAATGGAGTATGAGCCAATCGTTGGTTACCAGCTACCATGGGACTGCATTTCTTAACGTTGTTTCAATGACTTGTGGACCAGACCTTTAGGTCGATGACTCTGGGTGTGGCCTCCTAAGAAAACCACCTGTTTCTGTTTTATGCACCCGTGCAGTATCACGGCCCACGCACAAATCAAATGACTTGTGTGGCTCATATGTATTTGGTGGCCCTTTGTACCAATATTTATGTGTCGAAACAATTAAATAAATGAAATTTTTTTTTAGAAAATACAGTACACCGTAAACAAAACTTCATTTTGAATAAAAGATCAATGAAATCGAAGTAAAAATATTTGAAATACAAAAATTCGATCAGAAAAAAATACTAAATTAGACATGAAACGATTATGGTTCGGAAAAATGATTTCACAAAAAGATTCCTAATTTAATATTTTAGAAAAACAGAAAGTTTCACAAAAAAATTGGACTGCAAACCTATAAGTGCATTTATAACTTTAATGATACATAAGACGGAAGTAAATATGTGTATACACAAAATTTAAATGTAAACTTTGTGGATCTTGAATAGTTTCCCTATTGAAGTTCTTCTAGACTAAGATGAATGATCTCCTACATACTTTTTATATGTAGCCCGAATAGAATCAACGAATTAATTAATTTGTTTACATATATATTGGTAGCTTTACTGATGAGTAAATTATTTTCACTATATTATGTTACAACATGTAAGTACCATTCAATAGCTTCTATTATCACAGGGATTTAATTTTCAGCTGCATGATTTCTTGGAATTCTTTTTATTGTCAGGAGAATATTTTCCAATAATACAAAAAATAACTCACATCGATCATTATTTTATTTATCTATTTATTTGAACACATAAACATTGGTGCAAGAAGGCATCAAATATATATGCGCCACACAAATCAAGTGATTTGTGTATAGGCTGTGATACTGCCCAGGTGCCAAAACTGAAGCAGATGGCTCTCGTAGGGAGCCACACCCCAAGTCTTTGACCTAAAGGTCTAATCCATAAGGCAGTGGAGCAACATCAGGAGATTTAGTCCCATGGTAGCCGGTAATCAACAATCGGTTTATATGCTATTTGTTTCCTTAGGATCATAGAATCCATGTGCACCATTGGTTCGGAATCAGTGTTTTCCAACTAACTCCCCTAAGTGGATCCTCTGTGTTCACCAACCTGGTTAGCGAGTCGGACATTTGTTTTTCATCGTCTGGATTCCGTAAACAACACCCGTGCCACGAGAAGGCATTGAGTAGAACTTCTCTGACAGTGGTTGTATGCACGTGGCCATGTGATAGCATTTCGAGAGGGAGAGCTGACTTTCGCTACTCTTGACCATATCAGGGAATTCGGGGGGTTATTATTATTATTACTATTATTATTATTAATTTATAACATATTATGCTGTAATGTCTGTAATATGTTATTAGTTTAGTTGTGACTTGATAACTCACTCTCATAATCTCTGCTATTACATATGAAAGATATTTAATTCTTTAACTTTCTTTTCTTTTGTTAGCAGTCTGATCTAGATCGATGTGCAATAGTTTGTGCTCCAGAAAAATGTCAATGTGTCGGTCCACAGGGAATACAGGTAAATCTTTATCTACTTAGACATAATTTTGTTTAATAATTTATTTGATCAACTATAAACTTTTTAATAAAGTTTGTAAAATTGTTTAGAGCTATTAAGATTTTATTTCATCATCGTATCCATTAAATGACATTTCTATCCATATTATTATTTTCTATAGACATTAAATCAGAAGTTAAATGGTAGATTTCATACCAGATTAACACCGAAATCATCTAACAATACATATATTTTTTTATATCCCAATGAGTAGAAGAAGATTATATTTCTGACATTTCATGACTTGATGTAAGACACTTCTTCAGAGTAAATAAATATTCGATAGGTCCTGGGCTCGAATCTCGCGAGGTGGGATCGTGGATGTGCATTATTGAGGAGTTTCACAGTATGACGAAAGGGCCGTCCAGTGCTTCCAGGTTTTCCATGGTGGTCTAGCTTCAATTGACTGATGAATTCGTCTACTAAATTATTATAATATCCACAAGATCCCTCTCTGATTAAAAACATATTTATTATTAACCTTTTACTTAATCCTCAATTTACTTGAAACTATCAAGTTCAACCTTGGCATTGATACCTAAACACCAGACTCATCTGTTAGATATTTAATTAATTTTAGTTATTCCAATGTTTTTATTTGTCCGTTAGATACTACTGAAGGTATAGTCTGATATATTGAATGCATCTTTCGTACTCTACTGCACAGAAGAAAATGTGTGGTTATTCAATTGTGATCAGCGAATTTTGTTATTTATGACAGTAGGTTAAAATTGTGCTACCGAAAAAACTAAAATATCACTGTATATGATTGACGGAATTCGATCAGCATATATAAGAATATCGCTGACTGATAAGTGATACAGTTCTGAATCTCTGGAAAAACTTTAATTTTTTCAAGATTTAAGTAACAAGCTATTGATAAGTGTCAGTCGCAACATAAAGAAAGTTTTTGACGTCCTACTGATTGCCCTCGAAATGAAGAACAGCAATTATAAGTATTTCAAATATAGATTGTTTGGTTCATGGAATGGATTTAAATAAGAATTCTAAACAAGTTATTCCCATAAGTATTAATAATGAGTTGATTAGATGACCTTCTTTCTAAATAAGTGAAGTGATACTTTCTCAGGTCGTTTCCATCTACTCGATAAATCATATTGAAAGTGTCTTTAGTTTTCAGTTTTTTCGTCCAGTAGTATATATTAGAACAATTACGGTCACTATTTTTATAAACCTGTCCTAATAACGTCCAGGCATTTATGGAAATTAAAGTCGAAAATATTCATTGGATGTTATTATTACTATTATCCTTACCTAAATCAGAACTAATAAATGATTAATTATTCTACAAATGTATAACTTTGAACAGGGGCAACCTGGTCCGATAGGTGTACGAGGTTCGGAAGGGCCTCCAGGTGATGTAGGTCTTATTGGACTTCGTGGATCACCAGGTGAGAAAGGTGAACAAGGAATTCCCGGTGTATTGGGTCCAAGAGGTGAAAAGGTTTGCATATACATATTATATTTATTCTTTAAATGATGAGGAATCTTGCTATTTATAACTTTATACTTGTTACATGAGAAACTTGAAATAACTAATTCTTATTAGATATCTTGTTTTTCGAATAATTAACAGTCTTTAGAGTCAACAGAGTACTCTTCTTTGGAATTGGTGTATGCGATTATTTAATTTTGAAAAAGTCGACAAATAACATTGGTCTGGGTAATTTAAATCTTAAGTAAGTCGATATTAAAGCAGAAAATTCATGCACCTGTAAACGGAAACTGTAAGGTATCCAGCTGTAGCTGACCAAACAATATTTAATGAACATTAAATAATGAAGTTGTTATGGTCTGAAGTTGGCTAATGTGTTATTCACGAATTATTTCAAGTCTGTTTGCTGAATAAAAGATCTCCATATTTTACCTCATAACTTCTACAGAATTCTTTCAATTATACAGGGTTTACCTGGCCAACCGGGTCATCCCGGTAACGATGGTGATCCAGTAAGTGTCTAGTTAAATTAAATGTTATACTTTTTAAAGGGTCATCCTGGTATGGGAGGAGAGAAAGGGGAAAAAGGAGATAGTGGATGTGATGGTGAATCGGTAAGACACATAAAAATATATTTTTTACATTTTCCATAATTTTGTTCTAATTATTATTTATTGAATTCTGATAAACTAATTAGCTCAATCTGATAGAAATACTCTTTAATACGACAGATTATTGATGAACCCAGTTCCAAAGAAAGTATACTACTTATTTATCTTTTTTTCGTTTAGGGAGATAATGGTGAACAAGGTGAACCTGGTGCCCCAGGGATGATAGGCACACCTGGTGAACCAGGAACTAAAGGTCCTAAAGGATACACTGGAGGCTCAAGACAAGGATTAATGGGTGAGAAGGTAATTCATTCACATTTTCCGGTTATCTTTAACATTCTGTATTCTATAAAACTATTTTTAAAATAAAATTTCACTAACTAATAAATTTTTGCATCGCATCAACAAGTGATTATGTTCTACGTGTCAGTACTTCTAAAATTAAGATTGAATTAATAACTGGGAGAATTTTATACAACCAGATCCCTTGATAAATTTAAACAGAGCAAGAACAAAAAGGTTTGCAGAATAAAATGAATTCATTCTATTTGACAGTTTCTCATGAGCTGCATACAACCTAAAATAACAATTATTTTGTTTGTGTAGTTTAGATAAATGTTCGGCATGTAATCAGAATCATAATAGTCAGAAGAATAGACATATAAAGTGTATGAATAAACATTGTCAAGATCGATTTGTATTTATATATGTTGGGAGGCAACAACTAAGAGGTTATGTAAGGGTGATGAAATTAAGAAGTGATTAGGCAATCACTCAACATGATAAAATAGACAAATATGTGAACATTAGTGAGATTATGTAAGAGAGAAATATTAGAATAATAATAAATGGTTTGGTACAGGGCCGAAAAAATCGAGATTAACAAGGGTTAGCAGACAAACATCCGATCATCATGGCAGGGAAAGACTAATCGAACTGTCCTTCTGTTTACAAAGGTTAGGTTGGCAAAGGTTTGAAAGCGATCGCCCCTGCAAAACGGAGTAAGATAGGTGTTTTTGTCTGTTGATTATTTTAAATGCATCACTGCGTTCAATTTGTGTCTACTATCAAGATGTCTGAGAATTGCACTTGTGAAGCCTTTACTCCCTTTCAGCCGTAGGTTTCTAGGAAAGTGTTGAGAAAACCTTGTAGAGGCTCTTCTTTCCGTCCTTCCTATGTACTTGCTATGGCAGGTACATGTAAATTCATAGATGCAAATGGAGGTGACGTTAGAAGGGTATTGATCTACCTTTGAATGGTATAAAGAACATTTGATGTTGTATAGTGAAACTAAGTGAGCAGTGGGAAAGGTTCTGTTTAACTCCGCTTTGACTCTCCTATCAATTCTTCCTGAAATCATATCATGGGTCTTTTGAGAAACCGTGAAAAAGAATATTCAGCAAACCTTGTTGTTCTTACTCTGTTTAATCAAATTAGGTCTTTAATTTGAGCAACTTATAAATTATATATAATATACCCTTGTGGGCCAGGGTAATTTTACATCGGTTTTCAGGAGAACCAGACACCGTCTAGACTTTCACGTGACAACCCAAACAGTACAGTCCAACCCCTTTTAACAGGAGAGCCAGACACCGTATAAACTTTAACGCTACAGTTTGAATAGTGTAGCTCAATCCTGTGGCGCAACCACACAGGTAGCAAGCACCCCCAAATGCCCTGGCACGGCCGAGAATGGGGAGAGTCCGCTCTCCCTCTCCAAATGCTCTCACACGGCCACGCGTATATAGCCTCTGCCAGGGAAGTCCTACTCACTGCCTTCTCGTGGCAGGAGTGTTGTTTACGAAAATGAGAGGACGAAAAGCGAACGTCCGGCACTTTAACCGGATTCCAAACCAATGGTGCACATGGGCTCCAGCATCCTGAGGGAACAAATGGCGTATGAACCAATCGTTGGTCACCGGCTACCATGGGATTGCATCTCCTTACGATGCTCCACTGTCTTGTGGATCAGATCTTCAGGTCGAAGGCTCGGGGTGTGGCCCCCTAAGAAAACCACCTGCTTCGGTTTAGGCACCCGGGCAGTATCACAGCCCCCACAAATATCAAATGAGACCTGTGTAGCGCATATGTATTTGGTGCCTCCTTGTACCAATATCTATGTGTTAAAATAAATAAATAAATAATGTAAATTATATACGAAAGTAAGTCGTAAAATGTTCTCGAAATTTAACCCAGGAATTTATTGTAATATTTTTTTCATCTATTTTAAAACAGGAACCCCGACTAGGTGATTAGGAATCTACAGTAAACTGTTTATTTGCTTAAGTATGAAGGAAAGTTAATTCATCAGTGCTTCCGGACACATTAAAACGAGTATCGTGAAAGGTCAGGATCTTTGCTTTCAACAAATATGGGTGCTCAGAGAAGGCTTATGAACCTGAACGTTTTTGTATGGAATCATGAAATACTGGTTTTTGAACTAAAAGTAATGGGTAAGAGAGAGACGGAGTTTGTATGGGAATATTAGCTATGAAATGCTGGGAGCGCCACCAGATGAATCCTAGTGGGGGAAGTTCCTAAGTGTGTTCTCACTGATCAGTAGTGAAAGCCAAATTTTCAAAAGCGATTGAATATCTTTGTAATCTTCATCATAAATGATTTCACTTGAATATCTGCGTTAGCTCTATAATTTTCTTCGCGGGCTGTGTCAGGTAAACTCTCAAGTCTTCGGGTGCCGAAAGGAGTATTGTCACATTCTGGGACTTAGAGTAGTCGACTGAAAGTTACCACCAAGAGCGGAGCCTAAGGTTCAATTCGACTCTACGCAAGAAAACTCATTCTGTTCGGACACTGAGGATTGACAAACTGATGGCTCTATCCCTTTCTCGACTGATGAAAGTTAAAAACCTACAAAGTCTCAAGAACAGATTCAATGTTTCTAAAGCTACAGATACAACTTTTTGGTACATGTTAATAAGTAGTACAAATATGTTAAACGGTTTCTTATTGATTTTCCTTGATAAAAATTCAACATCATTCTGTTTGTGAAAAAACAGACTACCCTGTCCTATCTTTTTGGTTCGCTTTCAAATGTAAAGTAGCGAAGCATTCTCACAATTCGCACTATCGAACATCAAATACAATAACCATGTTTATTTATCGTTATTAGTAAATATATACATATACAAATATAATTAAATACTTTTTCATGCTTATTTATAGGGAGATCCAGGTGAAATTGGTCAACCTGGAGAAGATGTAAGTTACTATTACATTCTCTGAGTTGGATCGCTCTTCAATTGTTTGATGTTAAGTAAACCAACGCCTCTTGTAATATCGCCTTAATGTATTGATATCATGATATTAGTTGTGATAAAACATTATAATAACAAGACCTACGACAGATACCCTATCTTATTTAGAACTCGCCATTGAGATATATCTGTATCATGAAGAACGATTTCATCATTGAAACTAAGAGATACTTATAGTAACTCTCAAATGTAATGAGTAATGATCAATATTTTAAAGCATTGGGTGTCGAGTTTAAGTCTTATGTAAAACATCAACATGAATGAATGTATATGGGATTAATGAGCTTAAATTGAGCGATATGTGTATTAATTTCAACAGTTAGTTACCACCGCATATAATCAAGATTTAACGGTATCGTATTGCCAATTACTTTTTGATTTTTCTGACAATTTATGTAAGTTATTGTCTTCTTCATCAATGTAAAGTGTTAGTAAATAATTCATAAATAATTTTACATACAATATAGCCCTCAAATGCCCTGGTACGGTGGAGAGTGGGGAGAGTCCACTCTCTCGAAATGCTATCACATGGCCACGTGCATACAACCACTGTCAGAGAAGTTCTACTCAATGCCTTCTCGTGGCACGGGTGTTGTTTACGGAATCCAGACGATGAAAAACAAATGTCCGACTCGCTAACCAGGTTGGTGAACACAGAGGATCCACTTAGGGGAGTTAGTTGGAAAACACTGATTCCGAACCAATGGTGCACATGGATTCTATGATCCTAAGGAAACAAATAGCATATAAACCGATTGTTGATTACCGGCTACCATGGGACTAAATCTCCTGATGTTGCTCCACTGCCTTATGGATTAGACCTTTAGGTCAAAGACTTGGGGTGTGGCTCCCTACGAGAGCCATCTGCTTCAGTTTTGGCACCTGGGCAGTATCACAGCCTATACACAAATCACTTGATTTGTGTGGCGCATATATATTTGATGCCTTCTTGCACCAATGTTTATGTGTTCAAATAATAAATAATAATAATAACTACATACAAGATAGGATTAACGTCATAGCAATGCAGAATTTATTGATTGGTTCTCTAAATTAACTTCAAACTGTCATCTATGTCATCTGTGCCAGATTAATCCCAAGTACTAATTAGTTTGAAAATAAATAATAATTAACTGGACAGTTCTAGTCTCGAATAATAATTTATATGCTCACTGTTTTTAAAGATAATAAATCTTGATTTAGTACAGGTTGTGTTTAAGGTTTCATCCTTCTATGAAAATTGTCTTTCAAGATTTAATGAAATGATATATCAAATCTGACACTAATTGTTATAAAGAAACATTAAATAAATATAAATATACAACTGATAGGACAGTTTGTTCAGACTGCTTTCTTATTCATGGGTAATTAATTACAAAATTGTAGATTGCTACCTGTACGAATTATGTAACCAATGGGAATCAGTGTCATACATTAATCCTCACTATTAATTAAAATTTCCATATGTTTGCATGATCCACTGGAAAATAGGTCATCAATTTCATCAAATTTAAATCTTTGATAAAATGTACTAAGGTTCCGTTACATTCATCTCTACCTGATGATTAAAGATCTGACTTCGTACATACACTCTCAGGCTTGGGGGCCTGCTCGGTTAGATTTAACTCTATATGTTTAAAATAAATTCATAGTGACACTGAGATGGTATAGAAGATCAGTAACTCAGATGGATGATTTTGCTGGAGTTTTGTTCTCTGAGCTGGATGGTTTGGTTGTGGAGCTTTTGTCGTTCTTCTGAACGGCCTCATCAGCACACTTCAGATAAAAGTTTCTACCTTTTTTTACGTTGGTTAATTTCATATCCAAGTTAATCTGCCCATAATTAAATCAACTAGGATGAAAAAACGATTCCCTCCATCCATTTATTTTTCATCTGCTATTATTCTTAAGTGATTGGTATCTTAATAAATGAGCGTTTTGCTATTTCTCTTACTGTCCTAAATTAATAATACATCACAGATATTCTAACAATTAAACAGAAACCTAGTTTACTTTACATTATTCCTTACTAAACAGTATATAGGTTTAGTTAAAAGAAGAATAAAATCTCACCTTTTGATAGTTTTGAAATTAGTATAACTTGCTGATAAACTTATTTCTATCTATTCCTATCTAAAATTAAAAGCTATTTGACATTAAACAATTCTTGACGTGGTTGTATTTCAGTTATTGACAATCTGAAAAATACATTTGATACATAAATGTCAATAAGAACCAAGTAAATGTTTAAAAATTACATTCGTATTTGTTTACAGTATATAATAGTAATAGCAACGCATCTGATATTCATAAATCACCTTTTATTACAAAGATACTAACAGGAGTTAATCAGTCATTTTGGTTAATAACTGATATTGAATGAAATACATTTTTAACGAATTATACGTCATCTGTAATGTCTTCTAGATTTTACATTCATCTACAATATCATTTATTTTTGTTTTCTCATTCAGGGTTTGCCAGGACTTAATGGGGAAGATGGACTTCCTGGTCCACGTGGACCTCAAGGAGAATCTGTAAGTATTTATAAGAAATGGTAATTAAAACACAGATCATTAGTTAGACGTGTATACGTAAGTAAATACTATTAACACGACAGCATTTTCCCTAAAACATCACTTTGAATTACCATCTATTTTGTACGTAACCAGTGCATATAAAAAAACCCATTTTTTGCAGTTACTCATGGATTTCATTCCATTTTATTTCATTTTTCTCATTACCAAGTATATTTTCATACTTTCATCTTTTTTCGCTAATCTATAAATTGTTGTTTCTGATTAATCGATTTTATTGGCACTTCTGAATAAAACTGATTAAGCATTATGCAACAGTAAATGAGGATTTACCAACGATGTACGAACAACCTTATATGAGAATCAATCCACATCATTCATGTCTTTAAACAAACATGATACTATCCAGGAACTGAGTTTCTGGATAAAGTTATTCACATTATCATCAAGATGAAAACCAACAAACCAAATATTAAGTAAACTAGCCTTGATTAATAACAGTTATAAAGTAAACAGTCTTCAGATTAACCATATGTTTATAATCTTATCACAAAATTTCTATTATTCACTTGTTTCTTATACACGTTTCATATGGAATAAACAAAAATGATAAGAATATAGTAATCATTGAAATAATATCACTTATATTATGGTTTCTTTCTAAAAATGATGTAAATGTTTTTCTGAAAGGCTCTTTTACCCTTATCTGTCCTTGTCTGTTGTTTGAATTGACATGTGCTAACTTGACATGACAATACATATACTTGTTCATATTTTGTATTAATAAATCAAAGTATGTACTGTACAACCATTAGTCATGAAAATAAGATTATCCCTTCATCTTATTCCATTGACATATATCAGTATTTGACAACATGGTTTAGTTAAGATGATTTTCTTTACTTAATATCTTATACAATCATATTACACTTACCAAAACTCTATCCCAAAACTAATAATACAGTCTTTATCTCGTATAAGCTCTTTGTATTATTCATTTCAATAACACTTTTCGGAAGAAAAAATGAATTATTGTATGGTTGTGTATGTATTTTTATAAATCACTGGCTGAATTATCTTCAGCTGAAATCTTTACAGTATTTAGGATTGTTTTGAGTACATTCAAAGAACCATTTGTTTAGCGCAAAATAAATTGAGCGAAAAGAGGTAGCACTCTATTTTATAACTATGACAACTGGTATCTTGACAACGAAATTAACAATAGCGATGTTACACGTAGAGAAATTCATTCACTTAAATCGTACACTATCATTCTTCAGTGTAGCATTTAAATGTTGTGCTGAATTTGCATCGTATTCCACCTAGACTCAGAAGAGTAGGAGAAAAGCAAATATGTTATTAAACTCAAGTAAAACATTCATCGATTAAGTCACTAATGGTTAGTTGAAGGAAATATGAGTTTCATAAATGGGCTCTGTTGAAAATGTCTAGACGATATTGTTGAAAAGAAGTTATAGTGGTAGAAATACATTCATTTTATATCATTATTGTAAGTATTGGTAAGATTTTCGTATTACATTTATAAATTTCCTTCCTCGACTTGATGTATACCATATTTTTGTTCTTCATTACTTTTCTGACCACATTTCCATTCTTTCCATAGATTTATGATTTCCACAAATCGATATTTTAACTTTAAAAAAATTGTATTATGCTAATAATTGGACAGATCTACCCAACTGTAAGGCAATACGTTGTTAAGTCTAACCAAAATCCTAACCTATTGTTATAACTTGTGGCCTGAGTGCCGTGCTAATGTATGACGTAATGATACCTCCAATTAGAGAGCGGTGAATTACCAATCGGACCAGTTACTAGAGTCCTTATTGGTCCTGCTTTCCGCCTAGCCCAGCCAGTTAAGCCCAGAACACCAATCTCAGCCTCTGCGATATGAATCATTTACTTCAAACATACTCGCTTTATATACCAACCAGACAGACCACATCGTACCATAAGATAGGAAACAACAATTGTACAAGATTTAACTAAATGTGGCTATGGATGTGGGAGGTAGTAATCGATAGACACGGCATAACTCAAGAATGGTAAATCGTATAATAACAGTTCATAGGTCAAAATAAAACTCATGATAAGAGGGACATGAATATGAACAGTTTAGTTATTTAACAATGTTATGATAAAAATATACGTATAGTATTGGTCCATAAATGGATCCCAAAGTTACCATTCATCATGCTTCTCGGGACATAATACCCATATAACTAAAAACTGCATACAATGTATTTTAATTAAGTGGTTATTTAATAACTCATTATAATTTGAAGATAATTTCTACCAGCTAACGTTTATTGGGAATATAATTTAGCCTCACATTTCATATTTGATGTCTTAATGAGGTAGAGTTAATGATTCGAAATGCCGATTCATTTAAATGCATAAAAATTTCAATTATCAGTTCGTATTGTGTACTAAGTACTTAGATTTTCTGTGCTAGGAATTACCATTGATCATGCTCTTTAACCGAATTTTGTTTCTCATCATAAATACAACCATTTGCATTTAAATTGTTTAACAATATCTCTTTAGATTGGTGATCCATTGAGTTAGGTTCAGTTGGAAGGTAGCTTTTCTTACCGTTTGAGTACGGCTGAAATCAGGTAGTAATAGATATATCTACATTTGTGATTCCTCAATAATGAGCACTCATGATAATGGCTTCCGATTCCTCCTTAGGTGATGTCAGTCTTTGTGAGAGGCTATCTTGAACTCCATCTTGTATAAATTCTCGACCGCTACAAATACATATTTATCAGTTATTCATCAGTTCATTCACAAATTTGTCAATTTCACAGCCTTATACCGAACATTAAAATATTATACATCCATTTTCACTATAAGGATAAAGTATAAATGCAAAAGTTCATATTTATTATATTTTATGTTATAGGGAGCTGTAGGTTTGATGGGAGACATCGGTCCTAAAGGTGAAAGTGGAGTATACAATTATACGAATATAATTCCTGGAGATCGTGGTGAACCAGGTCCTCGAGGACAAGATGGTCAACCATGTGAAGATATGGACCGTGAATATACGGAAGAAGAACTTATCAGTTTTACAAGAGGTCAAGCTGGAGACATAGTAAGTCAGTCAAATACTAGGCACATATGGGTTGCAAAGTAATGACTCTAATAAGGCTTAGTGGCTAGTTTCTGTAGCACGTTTTATTTCAATTAGTTTCTCTCTAATTCTTTTATTTATAAGACAATAACTAATGACTGAAAGTAAGGTTATATTGTTTTACTTACAAGGTGGCATTCTAGTTTTTCAAAGTTTCCGTTACAGTAAATTCCACATGTGGAGCACTTGTTACTGTTTATTTACAAAAACAAAGTAATTTAATAAAATTTTGAAAGGTTTGAACACCTTTAGAGGTCCAGGTACATCCAGCTGATGAGTCTCAAATTGGGCAAAATACACATTCTGAATGGGATTGCTAGCCACAATCCAAATGTATGTTAAAACATGTAACAGGAAACAAATATCATGGCATTCTCTTAGGATGCACATATATCAACAAAAAATAATTAAATTTTGATCTTGGATACCAAAAGTTGGGTAATACAAACACTAAAAAACTTCAGTTTTAAAATACAAAATTTATTTGTGCTCAATTTTTTTTGGGGGGAGTCAGTGATGGATAGTATTTTATTGTCTAAGTGTTCCAGAATTTGTTCTGTTAGTGTATTGATTTACTTAAATATATGAAGATTGGTACAAGGTGATTACCAAATATATATGCACCACACAATAAAAATGAGGTTATGAAGAAATAGAGAATGGAGGGTGAGTATAGTGAAAAAAATGAATAGAAATTAGCGTATCTTCCGTTTTACTCTATGTATTACACATAAACTGAGGGCGTTTGAGCGAAGATGGTAATAAGAAGTCAAATACGGATTAAGTTGGATGAATTAATCTTGGATATTCGTTCAACTATACAGACAGTAAGATGAGAAGTAGGAAAGCAAAACAAAGAAGAGATGTAGATTGTGCCAACTGCATTTGACAAAGCGTGACTCATTACATAGTCGTACAGAAAACTAAAGACATGTGATGGATAGAGTAAGTATACACTCATGTAAAAACAGCCAAGGTTATGAGTGAGTGATTGACAAGATCTGGATGTGTGTTGGTAATGTACAAAGAAGAAAAATTAACTGGTCTGTTCAAAACCCAGAATAATTGATGTAGGCTTGACTGAAAGTAGATGCTACAACTAAACAATTGATTAGCTAAACGGTTGATAATTTATAGTCTCGATGTCTGAAAAGAGCATCAGCTCTCCTTTAGATCCAGACTGTCTCGAAGTCTTAGCATAGAGCCTACTACTACTTCTTAATTATGTTCATTATTTATAAATATCTATAAAAACTATTTATATAATTTTTAACGTTTGTTTTCATGTAGGGTCCACCAGGACCTAAAGGTGACAGTGGAGAGCCAGGGGATACGGGTGATTTGGTAAGCTCATTTCACTATTATGATCGGGAATATACCGATTATTTAAAAAAGTTCTTCCTATAATTTAATTTATGAATCCAATATACTAATAATACGATCGATTTAAGTCAAGTATTTTAGCAACTGAATAGAACCTTAGAATATGGTCCAAATTGTAGGATTCAAAAGGTAGACCCAGAAATTATTTAGAGCAGAATGTCTCATTTACTTTTCTTGTCACTTATTTGCACAGTATTTTTAGAACAGAATAAAGAACAGGATGTATGAACCTGAATCATTTCGAGTAAATAACTAACGTGACTCACTTGTTACTACGATCTAAAGTGAATAATCATTCCTGCCTATTTGTTGATTATTGAGTGATGAGTAAACTGTAGTCATCCATCTTTCAAACAAACTAGTTAATAACCTGAATTTCCTTTAAATATTACATGATCCTTTCACTCAGATAATTGGTAACTAGTTATTCCAAGGAATTGGTTCAGTGAATCAAATCGATACTTTAGTCACCATCCCCGTAGTCTTTTTAGAATCTTATTTTGAATAGATCACATCATTTTAACAAATAACTTATTAATGAGTTTCTCGAATTACTCTATCATATTTATAAAATGGTTTATATTTTTACTACATTATTTATTTATCTATGACAAATAAAATAGGGTTTACAAGGTAAAGAAGGATCAATTGGTGAAAAAGGTGAACCTGGTGAACCCGGACTAGATGTAAGTTTATTTAGAACTATTAATTTATTTGAGAGAAAATTATTATTAACAAAAATATAACAATATTTGTTGCTTTATACCAATTATTTCATGAGTGAGGAAAGTATCATCCATGTCAAGAATAAGACGGTTATAATCAATGGCGTCGGATGGTCACGAATGTATTGAAGTTGAATATTTGGTCCATTTGACTCTAACACAGTGGTGAAATGGTTCGATGGACACCATAAGATCATGAAAGTTTTTAGTTTTATTCATAGTGGAGTTTTGAGTCTTCATTACTGATTCCAATATTAAGATGAAGCAGCAATCCAGAGTTCACTGACTTTTAATTGTACCACAAATAATACCAGTCGATGATGCGAACCACCCATATATTAAACCAAATGGTTCTACATCGTCGTGTACATGTAATGATCAGATTATGTAAGCAATCGACTTTAAGTCATGTTTTAAATAGATTACTATTAGTTCATTGGTACCCAAACACTAGTTAACACAAGATTTAATTTCGAAACAACTTAGAAAAAAAAACGACTGATTCCAAGTTTTTAAGCAAAACTGATTAAATGAAAAAAGTTCTAAGAAATTTTTATCGTTGATTTATTCATTAGAAGAGCTTATTTCATCATAAAGTTATAAAAATTCCACTGTTTATTGCTTTCTTCAACAATCTAAATTCATAAACTATTGAATTGAAATTGTCCTTCTATAAATGACTATCCCAAGACCGAAAAAGTTGTGTTCATTTGAGTTTTCTAGATCTATGATCCTGTGAAAATTCAATCATAAATATTTCAGCAGAAGTGTTTTTATTTGTTTTGTTAAGAAAAAATGGGTTTAAGAAATAAGATTGTTCTTTGGTGATGTATGAATATGTTATTAAAGATTAATAAAAGCATCGTGTATATATCTACAACTTAAACATAGTAAAGAAATAACCAAGTATTATACAATGTGATCTCATAGCGTTTAGTAGAGATATTAAGTATTTGAGTAACACAATTTGAAAATTATAGATCTTAACATTACTTACCCTTAAGGGAAATGATTAGCATAATGAATAACATGGAGAATGTTTTTTTCTTTTTTGTTTATAATATATGATCAAATAGTATTATGATAATCCTTCATGGCAATTCTTTCTTTTATGTTACAAGGGTGATCCTGGAGAAGATGGTGATGTGGGACCGATTGGACAACCAGTACGTGTATTTGTGTATCAGTTAGAAAAAATTATCTACAATATATTTTTAGATTTTATCGTAGATACTTTCAGTTATTCAAATGCTTTAGAAACACAAGGAAAGTTTTAAATTGTATTACTACATATTGTAAAAGATGGGCATTCTTTAGAGATCTGACCACTGATTTTCTCCAACCACTCATGCGAATGTTCATCGAAATAAGGATTTTAGAATATGGATTGTGTGAATAGCACACCGACTCTAACTCTATGCTTAGTTGTGGAGTTTCTCCCTCTTCCTATGAAATATTTAATAAATAATAAATTTCTTACTTCCCACGATACTATTGCTATTATCACTATTCACTAGAAGTGGTATTTTCTAATTTTACGTTATATTCACACGTTTTCACTGTACTGATTACAATCCACTAACGCATAGCATTCCTCCTATTGTATATGGTTAAAATACTTTGTACTACATCTTGTTTATATAACTTTTTAACTTGACTAGGCATTAATCTTAAGATTCTAAGAACTTCACTATTTGTGGAGATGCATACATGCGGAGGAGCAGTTGTGATTTACATATACATCTGACTAAAGGTATATCTAAATGGCTACAAAAGCATATGAATTACAATAGTTAACCAAGGATTCTGTGGATATGTAATTCGCCATTTTCCAACTTTCAAACATTAGATCTATTTGTCCTGAGCGACAAATAACATAAACTGATTCAGTAGTAGTTTTCGTTTCAGTGAACTTTACGTTATACTTCAGGAACTCGTTGAGCACCTTCAACGCAATGGGTTGTTCACAACATTTTAATCGTTTGAAGATCCCCATCATATTAAAAGACTAATATTAGTCTTTTAATATGATGATCTTTAAACGATAAATTGATTCATTGTCAGTTAGTTAATTCAGCACTTATCATTAGAGAATGTAAAAAGAAGTGTGTCATTTGACCCTTTTATCCACCTATTCACTATACCATCAGATAATATCAAAATACACTGAGATCAAATCAGTTTGTAATATTATCAGTATTGATCGTTGATTTGAATCTGACCACTATTCAATATGTTATCTTTAATTCTCCACTTGATTTTGTTTACTTTTCTGAAAAAAAGTTTTCCTGGTTTCGTTGAATAATTTCCTGTATAAAATTACCCCTAAGCCCTGTATAATATATCCGAGTTAATGTAAACAAAATTAAAGAGTAAGTACCGATAACAATGATAATAATATCATTATGAATAACTTTCGCAATACATCTGGCACATGAAAAATAAACTGACACAGTAACTATCGCGGTGAAAAAGTGGAGAGCGTGATATACTTATGACAGATGCCAGTCATAAAACAGTACCTCAAAGGAATAGATATAATTAAACAGATATTGATAAGAATCCAAGCTAAAGACAGTTTGTCTGTCAGTAACTTCATTTATTTTCATATTGTTTGTCGAAATCCATTCTGTTTTATATTGTGATAATTTGAAATTTTTATTCTTTGCATCATTATTTTGTTTGATCTTGTTTGAAAAAAGGGCAATTTAGGTTCTGATGGTCCACCTGGACCAGAAGGTACGATTGGTGAAAAGGGTGATCGAGGTCCACATGGTCGTGATGGTTTACAAGGTGATCCAGGCCAAGCTGGAATCCCTGGGGTATGTTCTTGGATTATTTGATTACTTTTATATTTATGATTAACTAAATTGATATATGGTAATTATTTTTATCCTCGTAATATCAATAAAACAAATAAATTTGAATAAACCCGTAAAATAATTCTCAATCAAAAGTCGGAAGCAAGTTGTGTTTGAGAAAACAATTGTTTTCAGTTACTTTCTTCCTAGAATATTTAGTTATGTCAAGTATGTGGGTACACTACAGTTGTTAATATACTGATTCATAAATATTGAAAGTGACCCATTGTGTCATCGAAGAAGAACAAAAACGATTCAACGAAAAAAATTTTATTTTTGATAATTTCATTTACATAAGCTGAACAATCGTATTCACAGTTAAATTATTTTCCAATGGTAAAATAACTTGATGTGGTGTCATGTAACGAATCGCTTGCAAAAACCAGATATTGAAAGGAAGTTACTTAATAACTGGCTAATGGAAAAAATATTGAAGTGAAAATAATTGTCCACTTGATAGGTTGTGGTAGACAGAAAGGGAGGTTAATATTATAGCAAAATGAGGAATTGGAAATACTATTATATACTCATAGGTTAGGCTTGAATTAGTCTTCAAATACATATATGTTATATTTAAAATAATCATTATTAAGCTTAGATGAAGCAAAGTAATTAAAGAATTAACACTTGCTATAGTGTTGGTAACTTGAAATTTAACTTGGTGTTTGTGATGATTTGTTTGATCTGAAGACAGTTTTGGATTTTCGACTGGAATCCACTGGGGAACCATCGTGATTTGAAATTTTCATAAAATTAACATGTATGTATACAAGCCTAAGCCTATGTACATTCTAAACTTAACAGGTGAATAATGTCTAATAAAGACTGCTTCGTCGTTCTACGACAATTTATTTCGGTACTTAAACTATCAAGCCTATGACTTGATTGGTTACTTACTATGACATGTTCAGCCATAATTGAGAAACTAGTGGTTTAAACATGAAATACACAAATGTAAGAGACCTTCCTGTCTTAATCGTCCTAGTTTCTGTAAAGTAGTCTTCAGCTTAACAATTTTGCTATAAAATTAAGTCTTCATCATTTCAGATGATTATTCATGTGTTTATTTATTGTACATAGTTAATGACTGTCAATCGTAGTTTACGATTTACAATTTTCACAAAGTATGCACAAACAAGAAACATAATATCAAATTTACTTCCAGATTAATCTGCTGTTCAAAATAATTCAGATTCGAGTTGTGAGACATTTCATTTGTGAACCCATATAAAAATAGGTATGTACCCAAGAATTATGTTTTAAAAACAGATCTTATGTTCAATCATTACACTTTACTCCAATGGATCAGGTGAATTATTAGGTGCATATTGAAGTAAAGCAAATGTAGAACATTATTTGAAATTTGAATACATAAATTGTTATTCTAAAAGAATCCAATAATTTATTTCTCTGTACTTTTATCAATCAGTTTTTGATAAGTTGATCAGTGAACTGTTTCTCCTCCAATTTCTTTGTTCATTTAAATTGATTGTTTTTCAATTGTGTATCCGTTTATTTCCTTTTTTTAAGAAAGCTACTTGTCCAATCGAATTTTTTCCAAAAGGTGAAAAAGGTCTGCCAGGTCATCCTGGTGATAAGGGAACTCAAGGAGAACCTGGCTTACCAGGTGATCAGGGAGAAAAAGGTGTCCCAGGTGATGAAGGTCCAAAAGGGGTAAGAGGAAGCCAAGGTAAAATTTGTGAACCTGGTCCACAAGGTCCTGTAGGTGTTAAGGGTTGGTATGGTAAGTTAATCTTGTAAATTCGTCAATGTAAATTCTGTAAATTTCTATGTACAGCTTTACTTAATGTTAAGTTATTCATCATAAATGTTATTGAATTATATGCCTACTGTAAGCTATGATAATCATAAACTCTTTATTTTACAGGAAAAAATGGAGCACAAGGAGAACCTGGAATTGATGGAGATCCAGGACAACCAGGCCAAAGAGGGTTACCTGGAGATGATGGTTTTGGTCATTTAGGTGAAATTGGTGAGGTCGGTGTGGAAGGTTTACGTGGTATTAAAGGTGAGTGAAAAATAAAGTCATTACAAGAAGTATTTACTAAAGAGTAACGTTTTAATTATTCTTTAAAACCTCTGTCTTCATTGAAGTCATCTAAGCTTCAAATCAGAGTTCTTGCTTGATAGGATTACTGAAATTCTTGTTGATAATATTTGACAATTTTATTTGAAATAATACGTAACTTTTTGAAATTTGTATAAAGTGTTCTATAAAGTTCCGTCGAATTCTTTCCATTTAAGATAATAGTATTATTAATGTACATGTAGTATAATTTTAGTATTAAGGGTCAGTTAGTTATTTCCAATGATTGATTAAGAGTAGAGACTGAGGAATATAAAGTTGCCTTTACAAATCGATTAATTACTCAAGGTGATTACATAAGGATAAAGATGGGAAAATGAAAAAAGGATGTAAGCATAAGTTTGAGATTAATCACTTGTTAATTACCAGAAATGGTTGTCTAGTGATAAAATGAAAATGAAGGGAGTTCGTTTGAACATAGTTTGATGGTCAGGACAAATTTATAGATCCTGCAAAGATCAAGGTCAAGTTTATCTAAGCGAATTCCAATGGCCTCTGATGTATATAGGTGGCGACACTTAGAAACATAAAAGAAGTTGGATGTGATTCGATATACTATTCTGAATGCTATATTGGCATTAATTTAGCAGCCTCTGTCAACTAGATGTTTGATAAAAAATTATTTTATTGTTCTACTTTGTCCCTTGCTCAGCCATTTAGGGTAATGTTTCGTGACAATGTAATGAATTTGTCTTGTTGATCTTATTACATAATTATTATTGTGCTACTAAGGTGAGTCTGGTGAAGAAGGTGAGCCTGGCGAAAAAGGATTTGGTGGAGATAGTAATATCGGTCCAGTTGGTCCACGTGGTGAACCTGGTGATGATGGAAGTGATGGAGAACCTGGAAAACACGGGGAACCTGGACCTCCAGGTCCAAAAGGTATACTTTATGATTTATGTTTATCCTGAAAGTTGCTTATTAGTAGAGGAATACAGAACATTCGTCAAATCACGTTGTAAAATGAATTGAACAATTGTTCTTTTTCAAAGATTATTCTAAAAAGTTGATATCAATATTGATTGTATAGAAGCATAATCTGAAAGTGACCTAAATTACAAATTTCAAATAAATTAGAGAATAGTCAAAAACCAAGAAGTACTATATAATTGTATTATCCTAGTTTATTAGTTCAAATAGGTGTGAACATATAGCAACATTCAATAAATGAGTAGAAATCCACCGGTCTACATTTCCAAATTCTGTTAGCTGCGATACAGCGATATCTTTATTCAGTTTCAACGGTGAACGATTATTTTACTCTTGATTTGATAGACTCTACATAATTTAATAGAACTACGGAAAATCAACATGAATTATAGCACTCAATTAGTATTGATCATGTTCGGTTATTAATTATCTTAAATTTAACATCATTCACCAAGAACTTTGGCGCTAAATCATAGAAAACAGATGAACCGAGAGGTAATTTGAAGGAGATATTCTTTTAAGGAAATCACGAAGAGGTATGATAGACAATAATGTAATTTTGACGTTCAGTACAAAGGACTAACAGTACAAGATAAACTTACTTTTCCTTTCAAAGTTCACCAAGAATTTCGAGTTTTTGAACCTAATCATTTATGAAAACCTGGTTAAAAAGTTCGATCACCACTGATGGTTAAACAACATGTGTTCGGTTTTTGCTTAGTGAATATCTCAAAAGTCACTCGTTTTCCGTTTGGCTCAATTATAAATACCGTCATACTAAGCGACTCGGTCACAGTAATACCAATAACCTCATGAATGAAAATACGCTTTGTTGATAAGTTTAAAGTACCACAACATTCACCTACTTTCAAGGAGTTCTGCATATTTTATTTAGCGTTTTTTGGATGAACTATTTTCATAACAAGTTTAATAATTTAAATTTTATACAAGGAAGCAGATGTATAAATAAGCAAAAGAGATAGATACATAAGGCAGAATTGTTTAGAAGTCAGAATAATTATTCAAACCATACACTTAATTATCTACTTAATCTTTAAAGGAAACATAGAATTCACATCATATTGGTAGACTGATGATATTATAATTATCTGTTCAAATAAGTTGATAATAATGATAATCTCATTTTACTTCTTTTCTTCTAGGTGAACCTTTAACTGTTTGCCCTTTGTGTAAAGATGGTGATGCTGGTCCACGTGGAGAAATAGGGGATCCAGGTGAAAATGGTGAAAAGGGAAGTGATGGTATGCCAGGTGATAGAGGTGATACAGGTCGACTAGGTGAAGATGGTTTAATCGGTCTACCGGGAACCAAAGGTGAAAAAGTAAGTTATTTGTTTACACCAACTGACTCCTCTGTAATGTTATAACATCACGAACATCAGTTTGATCTATTTTATATTATAATATATCTAGTAAAATGTTGGGTGGTTGAATGAAATCTGTGATGTGGGTTACTTATATCCACATAAATAGTATATGACGGTGATCAGGCATAGAATGTAATTCAGCAGTAGATCGGTAAGGAAAGAACGGAAACGGAACGCAATTGATATGAAAAGGCATGAACAATGAAATATGAGATAATGGACTGATATTTGCAAAAGTAACAGTCAAGTTTGAAACGGTGGATTGATATTTTACAAATTAACTATTCACTATATGCTTCTTAGATTTTAGTGAGATGCTCTGTAATTTCGTGTCAGTTATATTCGGTTGCTCCCCACTGGTCTTTTGTTCACCACAAATCTACTATAAGGCCTGGATCCATATATTTTGTTGATTAGAACTCAGTGCTAAAGTGCTACGTCATTCATAACATGAAGTGGTGCTCCTCCTCCTGAGAGGGTGTATATCACCCAGCGTCAGAGTTGTTGTTGAGCTATTAAATTATTGACTAGACCCCCTTATGACGATCGATAACAGCATAATTCACAAAAAAGAGCAATTACAACAAATCACATTATATTATTTCAATGTTATGAATGCAATTGTAAAAATGAAACTAATCCTTTCTCACAGTAAAAGAAAACATTATTTATTACTCTTAAGAAAACAAAGAAAACTGGAACATGAAATGTGTTGTTTTCTTCTTTAATTAATTGTCATAATTACATGTAATTCACCATCGTTTTATTTAAAAAAAACAGGAAAACAAAATAGTAATAGATTGAAATGATTCACTGTTATTTTGAACAAGGAGAAGAAATTCATAATTTACAATCACGATTAGATAGATGTAATGATAGTTTTGTCAATCAGATTACCTACTGCAATAATAATCATGATGATGAAAAACATTTATAATAAAACAAATAGAAGTATACGAATATTCGTCAAGATTAGAAAGAATAGTTTGACAGAAATTGGGTGCCAAGTATAGAGAAGTCATTATATGTGAAAATTATATTTGAAATAATCTCAGCGATTGAAATTTAAAATAATTCCAACGTTTCGTCCAACTAACTTGTCTGGACTTCTTCAAGGTTAGATGGATGGAACGTTGGAATTATTTTAAATTTCAATCGCCCCCTTTTACTCATTACGTCATTTCAACTCTTTCTGAATGTTATAATTACATCATTCATAGCTGACCAATTTCAATTCATATCTCTGCTACCATTAATCTATTTTCAGTTATTTCATCTAATGTGTTTTAATTCCATGAGTTCTAATCACTATTTCTATGTTATGGAACCTTCCTTCCCAAACTCTATATATTCGAAACAAAATTTCATGACCTCATAAACTCTAACGGAATCTTTGGTACATCATGATACATATATTCATCCTTAATAACCCTCTTATGTGTAAGCATGTCAATATCTGTAATAACGTTGGTTTTCAAATATTTAGGTTGTAAGCAGCTGATGAGAACCTAACGAAATGAAATGAATTCATATTATTCTGCACCAATCTTTGTTCTCGATATTAATGGATAACTGTATTTATACGAGCAGATTAGAGAAATACAGAGTATGATCATTACCACGAGAACCATCCCGTGGGTTGCTATTGATTGATCCTCGTTAGTCATTCATGACCTTGGCGATGATCAATGATCTGTCATGTAGAGTAGAAAAGGTTCAGGTTGATATTCAATTCGACTATGGTTCAATGAGATCTTGCTGGTCTTATAAGTTATGTGCCGATTCTGAACAATGATGATGCTTCTTCAACCTTATTTAGCTATCTAGAGATTAAGTGCTGGTTCATGCGTGCCAACGTCTGATAAATCGCATATCAAGAGGAAATAACTTCTCATTACTTCCTAGTTTTCAATACCTGTCCAACTTCAATCAGTCCTAAATGTAAATTATAGATATCAGTTTAGTTTTCCATTTTAATTTGTTAAATGACGCAAGCATTTTGCATGTACTTAGTATGAATTCAGGAATAATTCTAGTTTGTCATGGCCGTAACTACTGTAAAAGTGTATCTTTTCAATCCCACACAAACTGCTAAACAGTAGGATTGAATTTCTGTAGATAAACAAACTTGTTTTACAATACATGATATCTATAATGTACAAATATATTCACTTATTCAACTATTATGTGAATGAATAGCATTCATTATTATAGATGAGTCATAATAGACATATCATTAATCAGCTTTTATTGACCTTTTCCTTACATATTATAAAATCGTGTATTAGAAACTACATACAATTACATTGTTTGAAGCAATAATTTCTGCACTTATCTTACCTTTTACCGAGTGGAATGGTATTCGTTCATTTATGGTAGTGTTCATATTACTTCTGGCAGATCTACTTGAAAGATTAGTCTGATTGACTAAGATACATACTAAAAGATCATATTCGTCAAAAGAACGATGTGGTACATGCCCAAACTGACTACATGTTTGGTCATTTTGAGCACATACAAATAGATTTTAAGTGATTAGAAGTAAACGGTATAAAAATGTTGACCTACATTTTATGTTTTCTCGCATGCTTTGTTTTCTAGAATTGACGGTTAAATATATAAGTTGTATTATTTAGTCCTTTAGTGTTGCATACTGAGTTCCTCTGATGAAAGTAAAATGCAAAGTCGATACTAAGTTAAGTGACCTAATATAGTGATTGAAAGTGACTGAGGAGAACATCTGGACACAGATTTTGAACCGATTAACTCTTGTTGATCAAGTGTATCTGGATTATGGAGGCAAATGAGAGAAAACACATCATCCAACTGTATTGAATATAGTTTCATGTAATAAATTTAGATTTGATGGGTAAAAATTATTTGATTTTTACAAATATTCACGTATGAAATTGTAGGGTCGTATTGGTGAAGATGGTTTTAATGGTGATCCCGGTGAACCTGGAGAATCTGCTATTGTATCTCGGGTTGTAGAAAATGTTATCCCAGGCGATGAAGGTGATGAAGGTCATGAAGGTAGTATTGGTGATATTGGCGATAGAGGCGATGAAGGAGAACCTGGTCCTGTTGGTGATGAGGGTCTTAAAGGACAACAAGTAAGAAACCTTCTCTTCAGTTAATTTACTAAATAAATTGTTTAGATTATGATGATATAATGAACTAATATTGCTGGTAATAATCACTTCTCAATAGAGTGATCAAAAATGAAAAATTATTTATCTTCACTTTAATAAATATTGTAAACTTTTAATGCACTTTGTAACAATTTCCGAAAAATGATTCATATTATTGGAAGACATATTTAAAGTTGAATAGTTCACATTGAAGTGTTTGATTGTGATCTGATAATCTTAGCTATAAAAACGAAAATTAAATATCATACTAAAACTGTGATCGAGCATATATCTCACAAAAATACGTTCTTATAAAATTCTTGGATATCTGTATCACGGGTTGGTATGTCAGCAAAATATCGTCAGTTTTGTTTAGAAATGGTCAATTTGAGGTAGGTTTGAACTAGTACTAATTTAATCAGTTGGTAAATAAAGTCTAAGATCTCAAAATGATATGGTTTCGAATAGATAGGTAGAATACCTTGGGTACCACCTGGTAGTTAGGTACTGTTAACTTATGTGCTCCAAGAAGAATGAAACCTGATTTTCGATCTAACTGCTACCATATATAAATGTGAAGTGTAACGTACTTTATTGTGTCCCGGAATAAGCGTTTAGCAAAAAGAGACGGTAGTTTGAGTAAAACATTATTGATAAATGTGTATCAGCTTTTAATAAAAGTGATCAATGTCTATATGAGGAAAAATTGACTTATTGACCAGAACTCCCGACTTTTGACCAACTGGTCTCAGATCTAAACTCTGCCTATTCTTTTTTGATTTGGGCGAACTCGTCGTATCACCAGCCATCACGAAAAAAAGGATGTACTTTTTAATTCATCAAACCAAATAACAGTAACACTTTGTTGCATTTGATTCAAATGTTTTATACCCTTATTAACTTCCCCACTATTAAAGAGTATCAAAATACAATAAAGACACCCATTCACTGGTTATCGGTATTCAGTTATTTTCATGCCAATTTCAGTTTGTGACAGAATCACCCTTATCTGTAAACTTCTTTCTTAAGAAATAGCACTAATCAAATTTTTTCACATCTTAATCGTTGTATTTTACAATCTGTTTACAGTTGTAGATCGGTTTTCAAGTTGTTTTTTATGTTCTGTATATTGACATAGTTTTCATGTCTCATTCGAAAATTTGGTAATTAATTTAGCTCCAATAATTACTTTAAGACTGTAGTATAATAACCATTATTTTCTATAAAATCATTACAGGGTACAGATGGTGAACAAGGACCTATTGGTGAAGTTGGTGATGATGGTGACGATGGTGAAACAGGTGAAAATGGTATCGATGTCAAAGGTATGGTTGGTGAACTGGGTGAAAGGGGTGATGAGGGTTCAGTCGGTGAGAAAGGTGAAAAAGGAATAGCTGGAATGATGACCAACTGTACAATTGATTGGAGACAATTGGTAGCAAAAAATGAATCTGGTAATAGAAAAAAACTATTGCAATTTTTAAATACATCTGTAATTTATAGACAAATTGAGATTTTAACTGTGTTTTTTAATAACATTGTTTCAAGTAAATAAAAATCTATTAATGTAATCTGATTAGAATATTGGCCATATGGTGTTTCAATCTAAGATCCTTACATTTTACTCTACCTTTATGCAATAAAAAAAACAAACATAGTTTTCCAGTTTTCCTCCAACAAGTATATTTATTGCATTTACTGTAATTATAGAAACTAACAATAAAATAAGACATCCTATCTAAACTGTTTACGCTTATAGTTATCAATGAAAAGTTATTAATTTAAAACGTTAACAGTGGTTCATATTAATTCTAGTTTATTCTCGAAAAATAGTTCATTAATGCCCTAAATTCAGTTATCCTTGAAGCCAAAAGTCAGTTAACAATAAACAAGTTAAGATATGACATAAAAATTCATCAACTTAAAGTCGTTACACTTCGAATCAGCCCTAAATAATGTAGTCTGATAAGAATGGGCATAATCGAATAATAAAAACTATGAGATAGTGTTGAAATTCACTATTCAGTGGACGACAAAGAATGAATATATTTCCTCAACTAAAATTGATTTTGAGTTATTCCATTTACGCTCACTATCCCTCAATTAAGATTATCACGCAGACCACAGTCAAGTAATCTTCACCTCCTGACACAACTCCATCCGAAAGTCAGTAACTTCAAGCAATTATATGTCTTAGTTTGGCCATCAGTGAACATCTTCCAACTTACTACTATACCATTCAATATATTAGGTCTAAGTAGATCGTCATTGTACATGTCCTAGCCATCTAAATTAATGAAATTCAATAGTATCACCAATCTAGCTATTATCTCTACCCAGCTACCATCTCCTGATTGCAGCATTAACCACTCGTACATGATCAATAGTTTGATTATGCTTATGGATCAGTCTTTACAACTTATTCATTTGTTGAACATTCGAAGGTCATGCTACATAATCATAAGATAAAGTAAAGAGTACTGATGAACAGTACATTCACTCTTTTGAGTGAGGGGGCAACAAACACCCTGCCTACACCAGAAATTAAGAAAATTAGCAAAATCTGGGCAAGCTTTTTGTGTTCATGTTGAGATCTTGTTAACCGCCAGCTTGTCAGGACTGATGAGACTTCCAAAATGTGTAAAATGATCAGCTTATACAGAACGGAACCTATTATTTCTTGACTACTAGTTACGATTCTGTCCAGAGTTAGAGTTCCCTTCAACTGCAGTAAATATACTAATCTTAATATAGAATCTAAAAGCCAAATTTATCTTGTGTATGAGGGACGAAATGAAATAGTTCAATATTAAGTGATTCCTAAACAATAATCTTTGAATTCCAGATTTACCTCTTCTCCCAATTCAACTACATGCTGTCTGTTAATCAAGTGATTTGCCATGCCAAAAATCAACCACAAAGTTCTTTATACTTAGCTAGTGAATAAATGTAAAACTATTCATATGATTTCTGTATTATATTTGTACTAATATTTATTGGACTAAAGCACCAAAACATTTATTCTACAAGAATACAATTGTACATTGTAGTCTGTTGCGGAAAGGTTGAGTTCCCATTCTTAACTTCGCATGCACTTCGACTAAATAACTGCTGACACATTAATCGACTAATAGCGCAAGATATTCAGAAGTCGAGATGAAGTGTGTTAGAAACAGTTTATTTGGAACGTTCAAGTGACGCAAAAAGAAAGTGAGCGAATTAATGAATACTACTTAGCAAGCGAATATGTATATAAGAGTGAATAAGTTATTGAACATCCAAAGCAGTCAATGTTCTAGCTGGTCAGATAGATAAAAGTGTTGGCTGACACCCATGCATTCGATCATACATAGTCACTTCTACAATCATATATATATATATATATATATATATATATATATATATATATATATATATATATATATATATATAGAAGTATGGGTGAATTATTACGGACTAAAAATGTCCGTAAGATGAGTAGGTTAATTAAGAGGTATAGTTAATTTGAACATGTACAAACTTATGGATACATAGATACGGTTAGTTATAAGCCTACTTCACTCAATAATAAGTTTCAAGTAGTGATAATTGCCTACCATAGTTTCATGCAAAATATTCCCTCCTAATTCCAGCAATTTTTTCTAAAATGAAAACCTAACTTACTTGAATGATTAAAATCATATTTTATTTTAGAGTGGTGAGAGATTTGAGGAATTATTTTAATCATTACAGTTGGACATTATTTCAGTTGAACTAAACGTCTTGATAGATGGTATTATGATTTGAAACGTTTAGTGTTTTAGATCTTTTACTTAGTTGCCGACATATATGTATTGTAACAAAACAGTTGAATAAGAATTTTAGACGTTTTATTTATTTATGTTCACTTCAACTATACTCTTTCTTGTACTCCTTATCACATAGCCTATTTCGACATTATCACTTATTTTATTCCATTAGATTAGTCATAGGATTAAGAAATCTATAATTTTATTCATTCAAATTTTTAGTTACTGTTCACGAATAATCGTAAAGCATCACTGTCTACTAAAAGATTTCATTTTCCGTTGTAAGTGAGTTGGTTGAAAATAAGTTCTGTCCAATTTTGTAACAGATTTCATGTTTGTAAGTTTAAATATTATGTTCTATAAAATTCTAAATTATCACATGATAAACAATAACAGTTGAGATTTATGTATACGTTTACTTTGTTTTGGAATTTATTCAGAATTGATTGGCGATCGTGGGGAGAAAGGAGATGATGGTGAGGTTGGTGAAAAAGGTTCCCGAGGCATTGATGGACGAAAAGGTGAAATAGGTCAAACGGCAGCACCATCTGAACGAGGTGAAACTGGTTTTCCAGGTCCTGATGGGGAAAAAGGAGATCCGGGTCCACCAGGTAGGATTCACATGATTTTATCAATAAAATTCTTGCATTTGGAAATCCAGACCATCATTCCATTAAACTGCCCATTATATATTTAATCTAGGTATTGAAGGTCCTCAAGGACTTCAAGGAGATCCGGGTCAAGTGATTGATGGGATCGAAGGAGATATCGGTGAGCAAGGTCCTGAAGGCCCAAAAGGATTTAAGGGTGAGTATAGTATTTCATCATATCACAAATTTCAAATCTGGTTTGTTATAGACTAGTAGGTTTAAAATCGACAATATTTTCAAAAGGTATATATTATTTCCAATAAGTAACTCTTTCTATATTTCTCGTCTTAAAGTGGATTCAAGAAAGAGTGGTAATTTAATTAGACCAATAAATATGAACAATATTAATATATTTCTTCTTGTTACATGTTTTTGAAAGATTTGACTCAAAACTCTTGCTTCTCGTAACCTAGAATGGCCTGTTTTAGGGTTCCAGTAAGAAAATACATAATCAGAGGTATGAAGTAGAGCGATTTTACCAGTGAGATTTTATTTAAGAATACATTGCAGTTACAGAAAATATTATAACTCTTCTTTAATAACTTTCTTACAGGGGAAGAAGGCGATGTAGGTGATAGTGGTGATTCACCAGAACGTACTAAAGGTGAACCTGGACCTGCCGGTGAACCTGGAACTGAAGGTGACGAAGGAGAACCAGGTATTCCTGGACAAAAAGGAGAGCCTGGGGCTGAAGGTACGCACTCAAAGTGTTAAGAATATTTTCTGATTAGTTGCATCAGTGATTAATATGCATGAAGGCCGAACTAACTGTAAATATTATCATTTCAAGCCGGTCAACAAGGAGAAACTGGTAGCCCTGGAGAAAAGGGAGATTCTGGACCTAAAGGTCTACCTGGCCCTAAAGGAGAACCCAGTTCAGATATGGAGTCGGGCGATCAAGGTCCTAAGGGCGAACCTGGTTTAATGGGATCAGAAGGAGAAAAGGGTGGTGTTGGTGACGTTGCTGAATGCAATGAAGCCGGTTTACTCGGAGATCCTGGGCCTGATGGAGCAATGGGAACAATTGGCAATCCGGGTGATGATGGAGAACAAGGAGAAGATGGTGATGTTGGACCGGAAGGAGAACAGGGTCCTGATGGTGAGTTAAATCAATTTCTTAATATATTGTTTAGTCTGCGTATTATGACTAGTCGAAAATATATCATAAAAATAATGGCACTAATTTTAGTTAGACATCCGTTAGAAACCAAAAAACACTAAACGTCCGTGTCGTCCTAGTACGGAACATACCAGTAAGCATCCGAAACCTTACAAGGGATTGATCCTAAGACTTTCGGGTCGCACAGCGAGCGCTCAACCTCTAGACCAATGAACTTTTATTCAGTTTTTTATTTCAAATTATCATAGGGTTTTTTGGATATGGTTGAATTTTGTAGAATACACTACCGAATAATCTTAGTCAAACATCCACTTACAGTAAGATATAGAAAAGTTTTATTAGCTCCCATGAGAACTATACATGTTGAGTCACAGTGTACTTTGGAACACCGTGATATCTCTTTCGATTACTAGTTAATCAGAGTTAAGTCCTTCACACGTCTACTTTGCATCATAAAGTACAATGATTAGAATGGTAACAATGTACAGTGATTAGTTTGAAATTCATTTTTCCTAATATGAAACTGACACATTTCCATCAAGTTTAACAAAAAACTTTTACATCATTTTATTGGACCTGTAACAGATCATTACACTTAGTCTTTCTTATTGTGTGCTTATCTACAAGCCCATAAATCAATCGATTAATGAGTGACCTGCTAAAGGTAAAAGTATACTAGTCTGACGGCCTTAAATGACCTACGAAATTAAGTTAGATGATATGAAAGATTGGTGCAAATTTAAAGCATCGTTGCGGATATTTTTTATTAATTATTTATATCATCTTTTTGATTAGATTTCGGATGGATTGTATGATGATTCTCTTGCCCAATAAAGTGTTAGGGTTATGAGTTAGGATTAAGGATATTATGATTTCTAGCGTGATTATAGACATAGAGACCTATTAGGTTCATTAATCGTGCTAAAACCATAAATCTTTTGTAAGTTTGTCATTTTGTTTTACAACATGAAGCTCACAAAACCTGTAATCTGATTGGACAGTGTTTAGTCGGTTTGATTAAAGGTCACTCTTGACGTCTCATAACGTCATTATAGCATATTTTTCCCATAGATTTTATCGTTCTTGTTTATTGTTTTTTTCTCTTAATGTTTAAATGTGAAATTTTCACTCGTGCAACTACTAAGTCGGCTAGTTCACTTTTACTGTTGCTCCCTCTATCTCTCTCTCACAAGGAAATAGTAAATCAACTTTCGGATTGATTTAGTTTTAATAATGTTCGAGTTCTATCTCCTTTTAATGGTAATCTTGGACATCTCACATTTTGTTTATTTTATTGTATAATTTTCAGACGTAAAAAAGTATAATCCAGTTTGATGAGTCTTTGTAAACAATTTTGTTGATCTGTGATTAAGTCAATTAATTCATATTTTTGATAGTTATCATAACTATTGGATGAAAATGTGAAACTAATGAAAGTATAGGTACTACGTGCGACTTTGTCTAACCAGTTCCAGGAATTCAGCATTTAAGTGTTTACGAAGGAAATAAAATCACTAATTACTTTTATAACTTTTTTTAAAAACCTTGTAATCATTTGATTTTTGACAGAAATATATACAGAATCAGATAACGTTCAAGGTAAGTAATTAGTGCTGACTTGATATATTCTATTTAACTCCTGAACTACGGAAATAAAAGTTAACCTAACCAATTTTTTCTCGAATTCAGTTGATTCAGATGATATGGAGCGATTTTCGGTAATCTTACGACCATGTTAACACAAAAGCTAATTCACTTTAGGTTAATTATATTATAGTAGTCTAAATACAAATAATCGTCATCATTTGAATGTCAAGATTATCAAGGACACCTTTTTATGCTTTAGATAGAATTTTCCAATAAAATCAGTCAAAATTGTATTTATGCATTCCTACTTATGTAATACAAAAAACCCGTTCAGATTATTTCAACTGGAAATTTTTAGTAAATATTGAATTTTATTAAAATCTTTGGAAAGATCTACATTTAGTCAATATGTGATGTGAGCTACTTATATCCACATAAGAAGTGTATAACGATGGTCAGGAATAGAATATATTTCAGTGGAAGATCAAGAGGGAAAGAACGGCAACGGGGAGCAATCGGTATGAAAATGCAGGAACAATCAAATCTAAGACGATGGACTGATAATTGCAAGAGAAATAGTCAAATTTGAGACAATCGATTGAAATTTTACAAATTAACTATTTATTATATGATCCTCAGATTTTAGTGAGATGTACTTTAATGTCGTGCTCGAATACATTAGATTGTCCCCACTTGTGTTCTTGTTCACTACAAATGTTGTTTATCATCAAAGTCGACTTAATAAATGTGTAGATAACTTTCATGAAGTTGTTTGGCATTCAATAGTTTTACATTAGATGTAGGCATGTGTTTCAATTGAGTTGTTCGACTTTATATCTTAACTATATTGATCAAATATGCTTAAATGTTATAGAGACATTCAAACAAACAGTTTACACATTATAGGAATACTAAAAACGTTTTTCCAAAGTTGATGAGATGTTTGAAAATCTGATTAAGTGAATTGAATGAATTATATATAAATTATGTAATTGGTTTGATATTTATTCACTTGGAAACTTATCATGCTAAACAAAATGTACAAATTTCACCATACGCTTTCGATAACAAAAGAAAATCAATCACAATATGTAGTTCAAATAAATTTAACTTTCTTTTCTTTTTTTTATAAAAGAAAAGACGATTGTTTATCTTACGAACTAGATAAAACTATAAATGTAGTTAATAAGTTAAGTGTAAAATAAATAGAAATGAAATAAAAGATGATTTAATTGAATAGATAGTAAGAAAATTGAAAATAATTAGTCTTTTTACACTTTGAATACTGTGGAATGTATAGTAATATCAGCTTCAGAAAGAAAAAAATCAGAAATATTAATTAATCGGTAATACAGATAGTAGATCGTATTTACATACACACTTTTTTGTGTCAAATAACACTGTTTTTTTTTCTTTGTGTGTCGATTTTTAGGAGAACGTGGTGAGATTGGCGATACGGGAATAGAAGGTATTCGAGGAATTACTGGAGAAAAAGGTGAACCAGGTAGTATGGGTGATGTGGGTGAAAAGGGTTCTCCTGGTCCAGAGGGTGAAACTGGAGATATTGGTGCACAAGGTAAAGTCAAGTTTGCATAACGATTTTCATTTTCATTACTGTATGACTTTTTTACCATTCTAAAACAAGAACACTTGGTTTTATTTTAAAGGATCTTGTATAGTTTGTAAAATTAACGAACGATTTCGTTACGAAAAATGTAAATGGTTAACAGAAGTAGTTAATATAACTAAAGCTCATAGAATAATAATATTATTTTGAATGCCTAAGTATTAAGTATCTATAGCTTGAAGGTCATTGATTTGATTTTAACTATCGTTCAAATATTTGTCTTCTATATACATCAATATTCATAATTTAGTTTCAGTATATGGTTATAGAAATTGTCTAATTTCATTGAAATCATGAACCAATTTAAGTTTGGGCTCTATTACGGGATCGTGGGTACTCACTGTTGAGGATTACACATTGGGATGAAACGTCCGTTCAATACTTCCAGCTTTTCAATGGTGGTCTAACTGAAATCGATTCATGATTTCAATAAAAATCACAAACTAATTCAAGATTTATTATTGTATGAATTTTTATGAAATCTTTACAGGTTACCTACTTTTAGGGTACGAAGTGAAAACCTTTTCTGTTTATTCAATCCAGTAAAAACTTTTGGAATATTACGTTAATAAAAATCAATTAACGTCAATAACAACATTCCCGTAAATGAAGGGTAGTTATGTATCCTAAGATGAATCACTGTTTACAAATTAGAAGTAATTACAATAGTAGCATATTATTTGCAAGCTTCCCTACATAGATAACCACAGTGAAAATCAATCACCTAGTTTCCAAAGATTTTTAAGTACTGTTTGACACCAACAAAATCTTGATACTCTAGTTAGTATATATACAATTGAATTGCCATGTAATTTTCACATGGGTTTCATCCACTGGTTTTTAATGAATCACTTCAAAATTGTGCTGTAAAGTCAATTTATCTGCATATAATGTACGTTGATCATTCATTTGGACTATTGTATTGTAGGCCCACAGGGTGCGGATGGTTCTCAGGGTCCAACTGGTGATCCTGGGTCCACTGGGGAGTTTGTGGAAGGTGAACGAGGAGATATTGGACCAGATGGAACTCAAGGAGAACAAGGTGAGAAGGGTGAACCTGGTACACCTGGAGAAGTTGGTGAACCAGGTCCTACCGCTGAAACTCTACCCGGTATCAAAGGGGAACCTGGACAACCTGGTGAAGATGGTCAGTTAGGTGAACCTGGGCTAGATGGTAACGATGGAGAACCTGGTTTAAAAGGTGATGAAGGTTTAATGGGGGAGCCTGGATCAAAGGTAGAGATTTTTTTTTAAGTAAAACCATTTGTTACTTTTCCTTATTGAGAACGATATAATTGTGAGGATATTTTATAGTTTTAAACCAATCAAGTAGTTTGTTTTAACAGTATATTGGGTCTAAAAAGTCAAGTAACTTATAAGATATTTTAATTTAAAAAATAGTGTTTTAAAAATATACGATAAATTTAACAACCGACAGATTAGCTACTAACCAAGGGTTTTTTCACTTCAGGGTTCACGTGGTCCACGCGGTAAAGTTGGGAATGTTGGTGCAGAGGGTAGTAGAGGAGCCAAAGGAAACGTTGGTTCTGAGGGTGATCTGGGTCCAGACGGTGAAAAAGGGGACAGGGGAGAAGCAGGTGATGTTGGTTCTCCTGGTAATACGACTGCTGGACTCAAAGGCAGGGAGGGACTGGAAGGACCTCAAGGAGTAGAAGGTCAAGTTGGTGACTCAGGGGAACAGGGAGAATCAGGTCTGTAGAACTAAAATTGATGGTTATGTTCCATATTGACATCGTTTATTTAAAATAAGTATTCATTTTTTGGATAATTATGCCTAGAAATTACAATAATCAATGTTCATATATTTCAGTCTTTATTAAAATATAATGATCCATGAAATCGAACAATATGTGCTACGTTTAATTAGTCTTGATTGTGATCTATGGAGTTAATGAAGTATGCTTTACTTTCCTCAAACTGAAATTCTTTGCCTGTTCCACTTTCGTGATCATTTTTAGTCTGGTTAACAATGTAATACCAGTTTTTATGTTGAATAACATTTTCTGGAAAGTCTCTAAAAGATAAAAAAGTTCTAATCATTATTTGTCCTAATCTTATAGACCATTTTTTTGCTCATAACCTTCTCCTAGACAATAGGACTCGTATTTTAGATTTAAAGCCTTTAGTACTTATTTGTCCGTTCTTAAGCTATATATGAGTATAGTAAATTGGGTAGGAACGGACAATTTTCCACATTGAAACAAACACAAATATTGTCTATGTAACTCATTAATTTCGAGTGGACTGACATGTTAATTTGATCATTCAGTTATACTAGTTTATATCCAAACCGTATAATCATATAAATCAACTAAGGTGTTCGAGTTTATCTTACTTCCAGTAATTCTAAAAAATACTGTTAAAATTCTCATTTCTGTGGTTATAAATTTGAAAGCTTGTATTAGCTGTTTTAAACTCTAAAGTATAAGTTACTAGTTCTATCTCTCATACTATTCATTATAAATCAAAACAATACTATAAATGGTAGTTTATTGAGAATATATTCAATGGTGTTACATTGTTATTGACAGGGTAAATAGTCTATTTTTAACAATTTAACATACATTATTAGTCAGTTGTCTTTTTTATTTACTCAAGGTTACTTCATTTGATTTGGCAAACTGAATAATCATTTATTACTAATTCCATATTTTAAAAATATTATAATATGTTTGAAATTTCAAGGTATACCCGGTGAAGAAGGTGATCAAGGTGATGAAGGACCAACTGGTGAGACTGGGGAAATCGGAACACCTGGTTTAGAAGGTGATATAGGACCTGAAGGAAACGAAGGTAATGTAATTCAACAGATAAATACAGTATTTAATTAACTGAATATCTGAAATTATTTATCTATGTATCTTAGCTCTAAGCCAAATATTTTGTATGAGGGATGACCATACAATGCAACTGTCGAGATCGGATTATATGAGACAGAGCTCAAACTCGCGATCTACCGGTTTAAGGTCAAGTGACTTTACTTATTAGTCATATTCTTTAAGGAGAATTTCTTGCTCATACTATTTATTATTAAATGATAGGAATGATCATCTGTTTCATACTTGTTTATCATACTCATGAATATGCTTAATCATACAGTCTATCCGCCATGGAAGCCAAGTGATGTATTCTGTGTTACCTGTTTATATTCATCGTGATCCAGACTCTGTAATACATACTTAAGCTTATGATAGTAACAATACATATAAAATCTTCACTATTACTCCAAGGATTTAATTTGCTAAACTTTCTAAAACGTTGAACTTTTTAGATTAGGAAAATTTTGTACAAGAGATAGCACTCGAAATTTTCCATCAAAGCATACGATCATTTTAAAACAAAAGCATTAGTAAGAAAAAAGGCGCGGATCGGCAAAGCAAGAGAAGCATATTTACAACTGAAGAACATCTGGAACTCAAAACAACTCTCAATAAACACCAAAGTCAGCATTTTTAATACAAATGTCAAGACAAGTCTGTTGTGTGGGGTGGAAACCTGGAGAACTACAAAAGCCATCATCCAGAAGATACAAGTGTTTATTAACAGTTGTCTATGCAAAATATTCCGGATCCGTCGGCCAGACACTATCAGCAACAACCTACTGTGGGAGAGAACAAACCAGATTTCAGAGGAGGAAGAAATCAGGAAGAAGCTCTGGAAGTGGATAGGATGCACATTGAAGAAAGCACCCAACTGTGTCACAAGACAAGCCCTCACATGGAATCCTCAAGGCTAGATAAAGGAGAAGAGGAAGACCAAAGAACACATTACGGCGAGAAATAGAAACAGATATGAGAAGAATGAACAAGAATTGGATGGAACTAGAAAAGAAGGCCCAAGACAGAGTGGGTTGGAGAATGCTGGTCGGCAGCTTATGCTCCATTGTGAGTAACAGGTGTAAGTAAGTAATTAGTAAAAAAGACACTAGTTGACGTACATTTTACAAGATGTGGAGAGATAAATTATTTTATTTAAGTTACGTCATCATATATTGAAACATTTTCACTTATTATCAAATTAATCATATGAAAAACTATTCCTGACAAGGCTTTAGCTTATTCATTTGAATTATACCGTTCATCCATTATGTTGAATATAACTTTTTGACTTCACTTAATTTCATTTAAATTAATCAAATTATTTATCAGAGTTATCTGAAAATATATAGCTATTATGCATTACCAGTAACAAAAAAATATATCTTTAGTAACTGTGCTTTGTTTTTACAAGTATTTGGTCATGGCGTTTTCTGCTTTCTACTCACTATATTTAAGGTCCAATCGGAGAGCAAGGTTCGGAAGGAGATGTTGGCATGATAGGAGTATATGGACCAGAGGGAGAAAAAGGTGAACCAGGTCTTAGAGGTGATTCAGGTGAAGCCGCCAAAAACTGTTCCATCGGACCGAAAGGTGAACAAGGTCGACTAGGTCCACCGGGGTTACCTGGACCACAGGGACCACCTGGTGATCAAGGTTTGTAGAATTTTAGGAATATATATATTAATTTGGTAATAACAGCTGATTGACTCTCAATGTTGATCAACTAAAAACATCTGAAATTCACCACTACCACATTTTTTAGCTGTTATTCCATCCCGTCTAACACCGAACCGCTTCTTTTGAAAAACAGAGACATCAAACAGAAAAACGTTAGCATATTTACAAAGGAACTTCATAATTAATTTTTGCTTGGCTTTATATATTGAAAATAATAGTTTGTGTATTGCTTAAGACTTAAATATCTACAAAATCAGTCATTAGTAAAGTTGAAATTTTGCATCACAATAGGTAATAACATTAAGCTAGTGAGTAAAGTTGTATGAATATAGTCCAAAACTGAGAAATGGCATGTTGTAGTTAATATGATAATAGATATAACGATCCCATATGAACTAAAGAAAAATTGCCTGGTACTTTCATAGGAAGAGGGTTCGAGAGAATTAAACGTAGAAGAGATTAATTGTTAGTGTTTATAAATTTCTGCCTAAGTACTGTTATAATACTGTTGTTCGCTAGATCAAACAAGGTAACTGGATATGTCTGCTTCGAACATATAAGCTTGGTTTTTCTAGTTGATCCTGATGGTCTTCGTTAGTGTAGTAGAGGGCTAATTTTGGGCTTTCTGGTAAACTATTCAGTACTTAGTTTGAAATGGAAAATCGTTCTATCTCGTTATGATACTTACCATTTATAAAATGAAGAAAACGAGTATACTACGAATATGATCCCTTTCTATCCCTACCATATATAAAAGTTACTGGCACCCAAAGATTACGATGTCAAAGTACAGTCGATGTCACTTGTTCCACATTAACAGTTATGGTAATATACGAACGATGATGAATTCACTGTCATTAAGTATATATCTTTTAGCATGAAAAATGATAATTGCTAGGCATTCGAGTATTTTTAGTATTCCTCTGGGTTCGTTAATTTAGTTTTAATAATTACCAATGTGCTTTCAGTTGTAGAGTATGTGGATTATTTTAAAATAACAATGTTCTTTTATTCTTTAAAAAGGACTACCTGGGTTACGTGGTAAAGATGGTCCACCAGGGGTTGGAGTAATTGGAGCACCAGGAGAACTTGGTGATACTGGACACATCGGTTTACCTGGAGAAGCAGGTATTGAAGATCTATTTTTTATGCTTATTTACTTATGCCCCTAATATTACATTATGGATGTATAGGGAAATGAGTTCTGCAGGAGATCTTTTAATCAGGTGTTGTACCTCCATAGATCTTTACAGGATAACTATAAATACATTGATCTCTCTAATTCTTTGTGAATTTGGTTAAAATACTCAGTCATTTGAATTATTTTGCTTTTAAGATTGAGTAACAGTGGTGATATGAAAGCCTGTTTTATAAGTGATAGTAATTTCAGCTCATTATACTGAAATTAGAAATAAGTTTATTAAATAAACGGTAGACAAGGGTGAATGATATGCTGTGTTCTACTGAGCTATAGCTCTTAGCACCAGATCTCACTGTTATTTTAAATGAAGTAAGTAATTATTTATTGATAACATTATTAAGATAGCGTTAATCTTATTACCTTCCAGGAGAACCAGGTGATCAAGGTCCTGAAGGCCCTTCAGGTTTGGCCGCTCTTACTGGTGAGCCAGGAATGAAAGGAGAACGAGGAATACCAGGAGATATTGGGGACCCGGGAGTAGGAGGTGTACAAGGTCTTCCTGGGTACGATGGAGAAAAAGGTATACAGGGATCACAAGGTTCGTCGGGAGTAGATGGAATTGATGGTATTGCGGGACCAAAAGGGTTTTCTGGAGATCAAGGTCCTTCCGGAAATCGTGGACAAATTGGTGATCAAGGTGAAATGGGCGAAACTGGTATCCAGGGTCCAAAGGGAGCTCAAGGAGTTGCAACAAGAGGGGAGCTTGGTGAAATAGGTGATCCCGGGGAAAATGGAGCTCTTGGAGAACAAGGAGACCCGGGTCCTGATGGTGAAGTGGGAGATGATGGGGATACTGGTGAAAAAGGAGAGAAAGGTCAACCTGGACTATTAGAAGGTGAGAGAGGTGAAGTAGGTGATGTAGGGGAGCGTGGGGATATTGGGGAAGTTGGACCTCCTGGTCCTCTCGGTGATGTTGGCCCCAAAGGTAAAAATGGTGAGAAAGGACAACCAGGTCAAACAAATTACTCATCTATACTATTTGCTCGTCATTATCAGACACCGTTTGTCGATGACCTTACATGTCCAACTGGAACTAATAAACTGTTCACTGGTTACAGCTACGTTATGGGAGGAGGTGTGGATGATTTAGTCAGCATGGATTTAGGTAAAGTAATTCAAATCACATAGATAAAGTACATTCTGTAATATTTTTTACAAAGTTGTTTCTCTGTCAGACTCTTAAGCTATATATGCGTATGTTTCTCATATGCGCTCAGAATAACTAGGCATATTATCATCCTAGAGAATTTGAACTGGTATAATAATATTCTGTAAATTGTAATATTTTCTAAATTTATAAATGAAATCAACTTGTGTATTGACAATAATTGTTGATTTTACGAATCACTTTACATTGGAAAAATATTAAGAATCGATTGGCTTATAGTTCAGAAACTATGTACTTTAACAGCGAAAACTAGTTGTTCTTTTTATCTCTCCCAACATAAATAAATCTGTGTTCAAGTATATTTCTTGTAGTTAATAACATTAATTGTTGTTGGAAATATTCATTTCATATTATAGTATGTGTTCAACAGGGTGTAGTGAACAAGAACACAAGTGGGGACAATCTAATGTATTCGAGCACGACATTAAAGTACATCTCACTAAAATCTGAGAATCATATAGTAAATAGTTAATTTGTAAAATTTCAATCGATTGTCTCAAATTTGACTATTTCTCTTGCAATTATCAGTCCATCGTCTTAGATTTGATTGTTCCTGCATTTTCATACCGATTGCTCCCCGTTGCCGTTCTTTCCCTCTTGATCTTCCACTGAAATATATTCTATTCCTGACCATTGTTATACACTACTTATGTGGATATAAGTAGCTCATACCACACGGGTAATTTAATTAATGTTAAGACAACGATGAAATCAATAGTGACTTCAAAAGCAAACATCAGAAAACAAGTCATAGATATCATTGGATTCAATAGATTCTGAACATCCAATTGATTTAAATAGCATAAGAGTCTTTCAAAAATGTTTTGTATTGTATGAAAAGAGATTGACAGCTAAAGTCTGACATACATGGGCAAACTCAAGTGATAAAAATAGGAGAGATAGAATATAATTAGCTATCCCATGATAACTATTACTTAATAAGAGAATCTGAATTTTGTTTTACATTTTAATTCTTTCAATTAATCTTTTATCATGTGGACAAGAATGATTACTTTCATTTGTTCTAATCATTTAATTTACTTGAACATACAATGAACAACTAGTTAGTTTAATACAACGACACAAACTTACATTTATTGTTTATTTATTTTAATTTTTTGCATGCTGCAACATTTGATTGACAACATCCATCAAACTGGGATGCTTTAGACTCAATGAAGTTTCTCACATCAGATCCACACACAATTTCTTCACAGCAACTGACTCATACACACAGTGACAAATCTCATTATCGTCATTGTTTACATTATTAGACAATTCGTTTAGTATACAGTTAATATGTGAACCATGTATTTATAGTCGACAATTTTGATATTTGATTATTTCCCATGAAAAAACTTGGACGGGAATGCCGACGGAATCTCTGAATTCGTTTAAAGTTCTATGGCTGAGATTTTTCACAAAAATAATTTCTTTCTTAGTGGTGTGCCTGTTTTTTTTCAATCAATCGGTCATTTCCTTCTCCCATATTGACACTTCTCATACCTCTGTTTCATTGTATCATTCTATTCGTTGTATAATTACTTTGGTGAAACATTTCTTACTCGTGTCAAAGTTAGAAATATATAGACTGAAATGAAAACGAAAATGGAAAATGACCATTAAAACCCTTTCAAGTTTTTTTTTTAATTTAAAAATGTAGTATAATATGTATACTATCTTAGTATGGGACTAATATTCTTTAGGTCACATGTTAAACATGAAAATAAGAGTCCTCAGCTGTCTCCATTAGTTGGCCTTCACTATTTTAAACAAAAAACAGCATTTACAGTTGAGTAATTGGTTAATCGTATTTCTTTATTCATATAGACTTTTCAAAATTCATATTTAGGTACACCAAGTTCATGTTTGTCGAAGTTCAGTTCATTACCAATGACTCAATGTGAAAGAGATACAACCTGTCAATCAAGTATGAGACATGAACGATCCTACTGGTTGGCCACATTAGTACCTCGATCTGAACAACCGATCCCAGTAGATCAAACGGCTGATCAAATTGCTAGATGTGTAGTCTGTGAAGCTCCTGCACATGTGTTTGCTTTCCACAGTCAAGGTGAAACACTACAACCATGTCCGAATACTTGGACTGAATTGTGGACAGGTGTTAGTTTGATACTTGTAAGTTATTTGATATTTTCGGAGTTCCTAAGATGGTAAAGGAAATCAATAGAAATCAATCATCACTTTTTAAAGTCGATAAATGTCATTTTTATCAAGTTCTTAGTTCAGATCAAATTTTACTGATCATCTCAAATGGTGGTCACCAGTCTGAATAACTCAACATCACTTGATCCAAATAACTCAGTCGCAAAATCTCAGATTATGAAAATGGGTAACCTCGGTTGAAATCTTACAGGGAACACTATTTCCTTAAGGTTTTAGATAAACCTCAGTGACGAGTACTAGTCAACGCAAAACCCAAGTCCAGGAGTTCCTATTGACTACCTCCAACTACCCAAGATCACAGTAAAAATCCTGTCTGTTAAAGTGAAGAAACTGGTTAAAATTTATATTCTATCAATAGTCCAGAGTCACACCAGGTAACGGACCATTGAAAAATAGGGATATCCGTCTCTCCCACTTCCTGAATTATTAATATGTAAACATAACCTCATATGAGATTGAACTTCATAGCTTTGAGTACTACGGTGAGAACCATGTTTTCCAACCGTTGATGTGGAATAAATTTTTTTCACTCCTGAGGAAGATCAAAAATAGAATGTGGCAATTGTCCAGCATTTCTTGGTTTTTTCCGGTGTTTGTTAAATCTTGACTAGATCTATGTTCGAATTTTCATTTCTAAAAATCACCCAACATAAACTAGTGTACCCGTAATTCAGTTTTGGGTGTGGCGTTCTCGTTCTAAGTGATATGTTCTTTTTATTAGATGAATATTTGCAATAATTCTTTGCAATATACTCCAAAAATAGTTTAACTATGCTTTTACTTCATCTCTTTAAATTTATTTCTAGCATACTTCTGGTGCTCATGGTGGAGGTCAACAATTATCTTCACCTGGAAGCTGTATGGAACATTTTCGTTATTCACCAGTTATTGAATGTAATAATAATGTAGGAATGTGCCATTATTGGTCAGATGCAAAAGTTTATTATTTAAGAGCTCTTAATCCAAACATTACACAATTTGAAAAACCAGTAGGTTTTGTTATGAAAGCAGCTGAAGGGCCAGTTTTAAATAATGTCAGTAAATGTAGAGTCTGCATGAAAATCCCTGCTTAAATAAATAATACCCATACCTACAGATGAATAAATATACACACAGAGTAAATACATTTGTTGTTTTAAACTATAAATGTTAGGAAGTAAAATAAATGAAAGAGTAACATCATGTCGACAGGTTAATTCATCTTCAACATTTATATCCATATATACTTGATTATTCAATTTTTTTCTGTTTTTCATTCTTTCTGAAATTTCTTTTCAACTAATAATTTTTATTCATTATTACCTGGTTATTTTAAAAGTTAATTTTTTTTCTTTATTTTATATTCTTTTGTTTAAATAGGCTACTTGATATTGATACCCTTTAATTTTGTTGTTGTTGTTTTTGTGAATTTATTCTGTACTATTATTCGTTTTATTGAAAATGACACACTCCTTTTCTAAAAAAAGAGGAAATATCTTTGCTTATATGTGCTTATTGATTTTGATTTCGAATTTTTAAAAAAAATTAAAAAGCGCCATATTCAATTTTAGCCAATAATAAGCATGATATGTGAAATACAATATGATATAGAAGAATTATCAAGATCCAATCTTTTGAAGTATTTATAACAATATATACATACAGATTCTTTAATATTATGAATTATATTGATGGAAATGAAATTATATTTCAATGATATTAGTAGTAAAAATAAAGGTTTTTACTGTAATTTATTAATTTTTCTTTTTAAATTATGTATGTGAATGAATGTATGATTTATTTGAGTAGTATATATTTTTTCAGAAAGTGAACTTTGTATGAGTAGTCGATGATTAATATTAGTTTACCGTAAACATTTATAGTAGTAGTAATAATATTCAAGAAGTCCTATACCCCTTCAATTTTATCCCATTTCAATATGTGAAATGAACAAAGAACACGAGTGGGGACAATCTAATGTATTCGAGCACGACATTAAATTACATCTCACTAAAATCTGAGAATCATATAGTAAATAGTTAATTTGTAAAATTTCAATCGATTGTCTCAAATTTGACTATTTCTCTTGCAATTATCAGTCCATCGTCTTAGATTTGATTGTTCCTGCATTTTCATACCGATTGCTCCCCGTTGCCGTTCTTTCCCTCTTGATCTTCCACTGAAATATATTCTATTCCTGACCATCGTTATACACTACTTATGTGGATATAAGTAGCTCACACCATATGTGGAAGTCATTATCATTAGTTGGTGTGAAAATAACCTTGTTGTTTTGAGATACTAGACTGAAATCTAATAGCTGATATTGTCAACTGTAATTTGATTTATAATTTAATCATCCTATCATTTAGTTTTCAAGATTATTGGATATAGCATTCAAATTAAATGTCAAGAAATTTACCGCTTTAAAAGATGGAATTTTCTCTGAATTAAACTATCGCTCAAGGTACTAGTTATTACGAAACGGTAACACTAAACAGTTATAGTAAGTTCTGTTGAATGAATTTAATAAAAATTCCTCAATCAAACTTCAAAACTTATGATACTCTTAGTCCCAATTTTGTACATAACTCTTAAATCTGTATATTGTAAAGTCGATAATATACTCTCTTAATATTGGTCGAAATAGGAACTTAGATTTTCCTGCGTACATAGATGCTTAATAGACTATGATCCACTAATAAGATGGGATATATATGTCTCGTTTGAGTTATATGAACTCACTATTGCTTTCCACTCGTTATTCATTACGAGAATATACTCATATAGAATCATATCAAACATGATATTACTTCTCATTCTGTGTTAGTGTGTGACTTTACACATTACTATAAGTCTCTTATTTGGTACATATGTTAATTCAAGTTATCTTTGATACCTAAATTGGATAAAAAATCCCTTTTATGTTGTTTGAGTTAGTTGACTTTATTGTTGAGCTTCTAGTGTCATTATGGGCTACTGTGTCGGGATCTGATTGAAATATAAGCGAGTTTTTTAAAACTACTCTACAAGTGCCAAATCAATGCATTCTTAGCACGTAACTATTATTAGTTGACTTCTCAGGGTTTATTTTCTTTACAGGGATCTACATGTATGTGGTTTGTCCTATTGGGTTAACTCGTGGTTATGTGACGAGGTACCCTTGTTTGTATAGGTTGAAATATCAAATCTAGGTTGACATCTCAAAGAATTCAACATCACCAAAAAGATCTTCTGAAGTATAAGGTCTTTTCCATTATTTCATAATTCAATTAAGTAGTAAAATTTTCTGTCTATGATTAGAATTGATATTTTTCATTGTCTTGTTTTCTATATACGTGTAGAATATTACTATTGATAACCGAATCCAGACCAATGCATATGCTATTGCTGTCACGACAGAAACAGGCAAACAATATTGATCTTCAGTATATCAGAGCAAAACTTTTGTAAGTTTATGTGTAGAAAAAACCAAACCAACATCAAAATTCACTGCTTAATTTAATTTCTATTCATTCCGATTGTTTCGTTTTCTTTCATTATAGGACATTTATATTTCTGGTTACGTTCATTACTTTCAGTGGAATTCCTTTTGCGCAATCGGTATGTCGTTTATTAGATGGATACATTTTTATTACTATTCATGTATTTTCAGCAATTTCGCCGAGATATCGATTGTTCTATAAGATGTGATTACAATTTTTGCAGATGTTTCGGACCACAAGGACCACAGGTAAGTAAACTTATCAAATAAATTTTGATTTCTTTTATATTAATTGTTACTGAGAAACTTATTTTTCTTTTGAAATTTTTGAAATCTTGTATTTAGGGTGATCCGGGTCCTCGAGGCCCACCTGGATCTATCGGTCCTAAAGGTTATCCAGGTGAACAAGGACCACCGGGACTAAGGGGTATGAAAGGTGATCCTGGACGAGATGGAGCTGATGGTCCTGTTGGAGAAAGAGTAAGTATAAAGAAGAGTTATAATTCATTTATTTATACAGGTGACGCACATGTTTCGGTATAAATTAATCAAAGAGATGATGACGATTGAGTTATCAAAACAGTATAAATATCTTAAATGCATAAATTATGTTTAAATAATTCATCGTTTCGTCTAGGATTCTGGTTTGAACTTCTTCAAGGGAAAATATTCATTCAGATTTTAACGAGTATTCGTATAAAGTACAAATATCTGTATAATTGACATCATTCTTTTGTGCATTTAAGCTGTACACTAATATTCACTATGAATGATGAATCAATGAAAGTAGAATCTCATCAAATTCATCTGGATCACTATATTTCTACTGTTTTTAACTTCAAGTTAATTTAATTTTTGAGTATATTTTTAATTAATACTTAACATAGTAATACATTTTATAGTTTAATTCAATATTAATATCAAAATTCAATGAGACCATAATGTATGGATGACCTTTGAGCGACGCTAGTCTGACCTTGAGAGTGTCCACTTAATATCTAGGACCAAATGAGGGTTATAAACCTGTGTAAGGAATTAGAATTATGATTTACAGTTGATGGTTAAGGTTAGAAATTAGATTTATGGTTCTCATCATAAATTGACATAAGCTATAATGCCAAGGCGCTATTTAGCCAAATGGATGAGTGAATTCCGCGCCAAAATCCGAGACCTATTATCCTTGACCTGATTGATTCGTTCATAAATTATAGTCTCGCCCAGCATTCTAAAGTAGATGAATGATAATGTAGTTCTGTCGTGCTAACCATTGGAGTTTTTATTTTCATTTGACTAATAATTAATATATTCACATATTGACAATACAAATTGATGATAGAGTTAGAAAAATTTTATGGTTGACATACAAATTATTATTAATTCCAGTCCATTGAGAAAACTATGGAAATTGAATAGTTGTTTTTTCCCTAAATTAATTCATGTATTTCGAAGAAGTAATTGTCAACTAGTTGGTTTATACTGTTTGTATACGATCTTGATTGTAAAGGCTTCTTTTCACCGAATAACTGTTCTGAGAGGGGATTCTATGGAGAATTTAGAAATTTTACTAGTTGAAATCATGAGTCAATTGAAGCTAGACCACCATGAAAGACCTGGAAGCACTGGACGGCCGTTTCGTCCTAGTTTGAGACTCCTCATCCACAACCCTGGCCCCTGCAAGATTCAACCCCACGACCTCGAGCGCGAGCGCTTGACCATTAGACCACTGAGTCGGCGTCCAGTGGTGTTAATGTCTAACTTCAATCAATCCACGAAGTTGCGCCAGCGTACACCATTGTCTTCAGTGAGCTGATATCTCACAACAGACCTGGTAACGGCTTCTCACTAGAACTCCAGGAAATGCCTCTTGAGTTATGTAGTGTTTGTTATTATTTTAAGCCCACATACCTTATTCTAGCTTTCGGACATCTCAATCTATTCATTCTACTTGAGTCATATTTTGACTTTGTTAATTATTCGCTAATCAATCTTGACTGTCTTTATATGAGCGCGTAGGCATACGTACACTTATCCCACTGTTTATCACATGTCTGTAATTTATCTTTATGTGCTTATAAATATTGATTAACTCTGTTAAGGAGGAGTTGGCTTACCAGCCAACTTCACCGCGCGTCATTTTTGCTTCGCTTTCTTTTCTTCGCATCGTTTTCCCGTTCGTTTGTCTGGATCAATGATTATACAAAATATATGCATTCAAAAGTCCATTCTCGTTATTTGACTTATTTAATTCCGTTATTAACTAACGCGATTCAAGTCAATGATTATATACGAGGATAGGCGCATATCTATTTCCACAACAATCATTCATACGACCTATTCGGAGTCAGATCTCGGGCCACTACAGTCAGTCACTAGTGAACTTACTTACTTACTTTCGCCTGTTACTCCTCGCGAAGGAGCATAGGCCGCTTACCAGCATACTCCATCTAACCCTGTCCTGGGCAATCCTTTCCAGCTCTTATTCATCCCTTTCATATCCGCTTCTATTTCCTGACGTAATGTGTTCTTTGGCCTTCCTTTTTTCCGCTTCCCTTCAGGATTCCAAGTTAGCGCTTGCTTCGTAATGCAGTTTGATGATTTCCTCAATGTATGTCCTATCCATTTCCATCGTCTTTTCCTAATTTCCTCTTCCGCTGGAAGCTGGTTGGTTTTCTCCCACAAAAGGCTGTTGCTGATGGTATCCGGCCAATGGATGTTGAGTATCATGCGTAGACAGCTATTAATAAATACCTGTACCTTCTTGATGATGGTTGTTGTAGTTCTCCAAGTTTCAGCTCCGTACAGTAGAACTGCGTTGACGTTCGTATTGCAGATTCTGACTTTGGTATTGGTTGAAAGTTGTTTTGAGTTCCATATGTTCTTTAATTGAAGGAATGCGGCTATTGCTTTATCAATCCTTGCCTTTACGTCTACATCTGAACCTCCTTGTTTATCGACGATGATTCCCAGGTATGTGAAGGATTCCACATCTTTCAGAGTTTCGCCATCAAGAGTGATTGGATTGCTGTTCTCCGTGTTGTGTTTGAGGACCTTTGTTTTCCCTTTGTGTATTTTGAGGCCTACTGATGCAGAGACTGCTGCTACTCTGGCTGTCTTTATCTGCATTTGTTCGCGTGTATTGGATAGGAGGGCTAGGTCATCTGCGAAGTCCAAGTCGTCTAATTGGTTCTGCGCTGTCCATTGTATGCCGTGGTTTCCCTCAGATGTCAAAGTCTTCCTAATCCAGTCGACCACCAGAATAAAGAGGAAGGGAGAGAGTAAACAGCCATGTCTGACTCCGGTCTTTACTTGGAATGCGTCTGTCAGCTGTCCTCCATGCATTACTTTGCACTCTAGTCCATCGTATGAGTTCCGGATAATATTGACAATCTTCTCAGGAACTCCGTAGTGTCGAAGAATTTTCCATAACGTTCTCCTATCTACACTGTCAAATGCCTTCTCATAATCAATGAAGTAGATGTACAGTGACGAGTTCCACTCAATTGATTGTTCGACGATGATCCGTAGTGTCGCAATCTGGTCTGTGCACGACCGGTCCTTACGGAATCCAGCTTGTTGATCTCGAAGTTGGGCGTCAACTGCGTCTTTCATCCTGTTCATTAACACTCTGTTAAAGACTTTACCTGGTATTGACAGTAGTGTATTGCCTCTGTAGTTTTCACACTTGCTCAGATCTCCTTTCTTTGGAATCTTGATGAGGTGTCCTTCCTTCCAGTCCATCGGTATTTGTTCCTCCTCCCAAATCTTCTTGAATAGAAGATGAAGCATGCTTGTCGTTACTTCGATGTCTGACTTCAGTGCTTCAGCTGGTATATTGTCGGTTCCTGCTGCTTTCCCGCTCTTGACTTGTCTGATGGCCATTCTGATTTATTCCGTCGTTGGTGGATTGACATCTATAGGAAGATCTGTGTGTGCTTCTTCAATGTCCGGTGGATTCATTGGTGCCGGCCTATTCAGGAGTTCCTCGAAGTACTCTGCCCATCTGTTCCGCTGTTGCTGAATCTCAGTGATCGGTCTTCCTTCTTTGTCTTTGACTGGTCTCTCTGGTTTACTATATTTCCCTGCTAGTTCCTTTGTTGTATCAAAAAGCTGTTTCATATTTCCTTCTCTTGCAGCTTTTTCCGCCGTCGTTGCTAGTTCTTCCACGTATTTCTGCTCGTCAGCTCTAATGCTCTTCTTCACTTGCTTGTTTGCTTCTATGTACTCTGCTTGTGCTTGGACTTTCTCTGCTCTTGTTCGACTGTTGTTAATTGCTGTCTTCTTGTTCTTTCTTTCTTTGATCCTGTCCAGGGTTTCTGTAGAGATCCATTCCTTGTGATGATGCTTCTTGGGGCCCAGAACCTCATCACACGTTGAAGTTAATGTTTCTTTGATGCCTTTCCAGCTATCCTCCATAGTAGTTTCTTCTTCCTTCAGTAGGTCCTGTAAGGCTTGGAACCTGTTGTTGAGAGCTATCTCGAATTCATTGAGTTTGTCAGTATCTCGAAGGAAGGCTGTATTGAACCTTTGTGGTGCTGTTTGTCCAGTTGTCCAGTTCTTCTTTAGCTTCAGTTTCAATTTGGCCACAACCAGGTGGTGATCTGAAGCTATGTCCGCTCCTCTCCTGGTTTTCACATCTTCCATTGTCCTTCGGAACTTTTTATTGGTGCAAATATGATCTATCTGGTTCTCTGTGGTGTGGTCCGGTGAGATCCATGTAGCTTTGTGTATACGTTTGTGTGGAAATATTGTACCGCCTATAACCAATTTATTGAATGCACACAGATTTGCAAATCTTTCCCCGTTTTCGTTTCTCTCTCCCAGTCCATGTAGTCCCATGATGTCTTCATATCCGGTGTTGTCCATTCCGACTTTGGCGTTTAGATCTCCCGTCAGAATGGTGAGGTCCTTTCTTGGGCACTTCTCTGATTGATTGCAGCCTCTCATAGAATTGATCTTTAACGTCGTGGTTGCTATCATTGGTGGGTGCATAACATTCGATAATATTCATTGTGATCCTCTCCTACTTTGTTTTGAATGATGCTTTGATGATTCTGGATCCGTGAGATTCCCATCCTACAAGTGCATTTTGTGCTACTTTGGATAGCATTAGAGCAACTCCCTGAGTGTGTGGAGCATTTTCCTCTTCGTGACCGGAGTATAGCAGCATCTCTCCCGTATTTAGCCTTTGTTGTCCAGCTTGGGTCCAATGGGTTTCGCTGATTCCCAGCACTGCCAAGTTGTATCTCCTCATTTCCGTTGCTATTTGACTGGTCTTCCCGGTCTCCCACATTGTCCGGACGTTCCATGTACCTATAAAAATTGTTGCTCTGGTTGTTAGAAGGGGCATCGGCCTCGTGGCTTCCGAAGGAACTCGGCTTTCACCATGAAGCGTCATATTACCTCTAACTCCCAGGGCAGAGTTTAAATGGTTTGAGTTATTTTTTCTGGTTAGCGTTTTTTTAGCGAGTTAGGTTTCTACGGGATGGGGACGCTAACCCCATGCCCAACCCTCCTCCTTTACCCGGGCTTGGGACCGGCAGTAACTCTAGGAGAGCTACAGGCGGAGTTCACTAGTGAACAGATGATTATTATTAGAAAGGGTTTTGTGGAGACTTTAGAAATTTCACTAGTTGTTCATATATCTATGATTATTTAATATAAATCAATTCATACATTTTTGTAGCAAAAACCTCCTAGTCTTATACGTGTTGAGGTTTATAAATTGTGATAATTTAGCGTTTCCTCTCTTATTCATGTGGTTAAGCGAGTTAGAAACTACGATAACAAAAAAGATATTTAAAATAAAACATTAAATTTGATTTATTAGTAATGTTATAGAATGACCTACACAAATGATTTCGTTTTAAATTTATGGTAGGTTCTCTTGGTACTTGGTGTGTACTTCAATTAATAATTTATAAATTTTTGAACTGAAATTCCAGTATTTATTCATTTCAACCTTATATTAATATATATGTTATAGAAACCATTATTTTCTTATTCTTTGTTCGCAGGGTCCATCAGGGGATTTCGGCCCACCAGGAATGCATGGTGAACATGTAAGTAAATAAAACCTGTCAAAAATATATCCCTTTTGACTAACAATTAAAAAGTTGTTTTAGTTATTCAAAAATATTTATTTTTCTATTTACAAAATTCAAATGATTTCTGTTGTTTGCTTACAGGGTGAGAGTGGAGAAACAGGTGAAAAAGGTGCCAAAGGTATTGCTGGTTGCCCTGGAGGAAAAGTAAGTGTTGTCTCCTTACACACGTGATTCATTCATATGATGAACTAGTAGTACATAGAGTTATTCACTTTTCTTTTCATTGTAATTTTTACGAGTTTTTATACATTTATTTATTATGTTTATTTTGCATCACGATAACCTAATTATCGATTAAAAATCCGTTATTATATGAGTTCTCTTGATCTCTTTTGCTTAGGGTGATCCAGGTGAAAAAGGTGAACCTGGAAGACAGGGTATGGATGGTGACCGAGGACTGCCTGGCATCGATGGTGAACGTGGTGATCCTGGTGAATCTGGATTCGGGAGACGAGGGCTACCAGTTAGTTCTGTTTTTAACATTTATCCGTTAAGTTGTTTTCAATACATTTATATATCCCAAGTCCTTTAATGCCCATAACTGATTGGATAGCTGAGATTCAGTTTCTTTTCAAACTGAATAGTAATTTAATTAGTTGAATGGTCGCTAATGCACACATTATTTCCAATATATTTGTATACATATGTGGTCTGTGCTATAATAATTTTTTATTCCGCTTTTAAAAATAATTGTCTTTATTTACATATGCATCATCTGGTTGAGTCTTGCTTCCATTTGTTTTTTTATCTAATCCTTAGGGTCCGAAAGGAGAACCTGGTAATGTTGGTCCAAAAGTGAGTTAAGTATTCAAAAAAACAAACGTCAACAATTTTATAAATCGCACTGATTGTGATGTAACTTATCTATGAACGTTCAGGAAATAAGAAACCTCCAAATGTTTGAAGGAATTGTCTTTAGTAAACGGAATACACAAATTAAGACATTAAATAAAAAAGATTAGTTCAGCGAAGAGTTCTCGGCGAATTTATATATATATATATATATATATATATATATATATATATATATATATATATATATATATATATATATATATATACTTAAATAAGAACTTTCGTCTAAATTTGAACGAATAGTTTCACAATATTTGAGTGCCGAGTTAATGTGAGACATCAAAGAGCAAAAAGTATTTGTAAGATCTCAGCGAATGAATTTTAAGTAAATCCAACGTTTCGCCTGGCAATCTGGTCCAAGCTTTTTCAAGGAAAATATAATCAAACAACAAAATTATCGAACATAAATAGGTACAAGGTTCTCTGGTTTACTGTATGCTGAATAAAACATCCAATCAACGTGAACCCTGTTAGGGAAATTATTATTGGGAATAGATGGCTCAGCATGATAAGATAAAATGCTGAAATAGAAATGAAATGTAATCGGAATGATCGTGGAAATAAAAACAAACCAGTTGGGGGGTAGAAGATTTAAGGGGAAGATGGAAGGTGAAGCAGATGGCTGTAAAGGAACAAGAGTATGAAAAAAAGAGAAAAATTTTAATGCATTAAGACCATGGTAGAAGAAGAGGTTGTACCTGTCTCTTTTGCACACACAATTCTGGATTTTCCAGAATTGTTTTTAATGAAATATTGTGATATATCATTACTGATGAGTAAAGAAAACATGGATAACAATTTGTATTATTCATACAATAAATATGAGTTTGTCAAGAAACTGCCGTGATTTTGAAAGTAAGCAGATATACGAAAGACGTGAAAGCGGAGCATTAATTAGCTAGTTGAAATTAGTACATTGCGTTTGACTCTACCATTGTTGTTTCTTACATAAACAAGATGGTTACGTTTTTAGAATTTGTTACATTAATAATGTCATTTCTCATAACTAGGCAGACATATACATTTTTTTCTCAAGAAGCAATAAACTCTGAAGTCATAAAGTTTTTATCGTATTTAAATAAATAAATGATTTTTAGGGAGATTCTTTATCAAACACACTCAACACTTCATTGTTGGAGTTTTACCGAACATTGGAAAAAGAATAAATATCCAAATAGATTACTGATGAAGTGATTAAATTACTGGTCGAACGTTAGATACAGTCATTCATTTTTTATGTAGTTATTTTTGCTATTCTTTTAGGGTGATGATGGAATTCAAGGTGAACGTGGTGACCCTGGATTGCCTGGATTAGAAGGAGACAGAGTAAGGATATTCTACAGTTTATCTCTCATTAATTTTTTGCTCTATTCTTTATTTAGAAATGATTTAGTCATATTTAAAAGCTCTGAATAACTATTCCATCCTGCTTTTTGAGACTTTTCAGCAGTATATATTCATCATTAGATGCTTTTGTATCAGAAATGATCACTATATTATGTCATTAGTATATTCAATAATGTAGAACATGATGACAGGATTTGTAGAGGTAGAAACAATTTTCATAGTTTATTATTAGATTCTAATATCGTTTCACGACTATGACTGATCTTGATTAATTAGCTAAATGTATATTGTATATAATTTGAATTTTGAACAATAATGTTTTGATTGGCTGAGGTTCAATACTTAAAAGGATAACTCTTCACAACCGATTATAATATTTTACTTTTTCCATAAATAATTGATAAATCATGATTTTCTTTAGATACAAAGTTCTATTTCTTGAAGAGTTACTTCAATTAGTTAATACTGTTCCATTATCCTTTTTAAGTTAAAAATAAGTCTCAAACTTACTAAAGGTTATTCAATCTAAAATTTTGTTCTTTCAAATTAGCTCATTTTCATGAAGTTTGTTCTTGTATATTCACAGTATGTTGATGAATTAAACTTCAGTCTACCTAACTTAACGTAAAATGAGTTAATTATAAACATTTCTTGTTTACCTAAGCTTAAGCATTTTGTTTCAAGAAACCTTTTCTGTTCTTTTTTTATTCAAGTAACAGATATACAGGATGAATATTGATTTGTGGTGGAATCTTAAAAATGCCATTAAATATGTGAACTATCAATTTAAATGAACTAAATAGACAGTAATAATAAATATGAATCTAAGACGATAGAGAAGATTTGTAGCTTAGGTGGATGATTTTGATGGAGTTTTGTTCTCTGAGCTGGATGGTTTGTGTTGATGATGTCATTCTGAAGAACTATGAAAGCTCCACGACCAAACCATTCAGCTCAGAGAACAAAACTCCATCAAAAACTATGAATCTGTAATGATATGTAAATAAAAAGTCATATAATTCATTGAATTAAGTATATATATTACATAACTGTTAGTGCCATCCGCCTAAATAAATCATAATGAGTTGAGTAATTTTAAACTGTCACTTTTTGTGTGCACGATACTAATATTGCTAAAACAGAGTACCAATAACTAAAATCCGATTTCTACGGTTTTGCTTAACTGATAAACAGGTTTTTATTCCTGTTTTATTTTTGATTTAGCTGGACTGATTTGAAAAATAATTTTTATTTTTGTAGAACATTCTAAATTTTTGGATGAACACTTTCAGAATGTATTATATTTCGATTTTTATGATTCATATTCTGGGAATCGTCCTTAATAAAGTATATTTTTGAAAATCTTTTCCATAAAAGGGTGAGGATGGCGACTTCGGTGTACCTGGTGAAGCTGGTGAACCCGGAGAAAGTATCATTGACACTTATACACCAGTAAAAGGTGCCCCAGGCGCACCTGGGGATCCTGGAGATCCAGGCAGAAATTGTTCAGTTACCACGTTGGAACAAGGTCGTAAAGCTTTAATTGGACCTGCTGGCGATCGAGTATGTGTTATTTTACATAAGTATTTATTTTTTTTTACAGAATGTACGTAGTTTGTCATAGATTTGTACAAAGCTATACTTTCAATCAATCTCAACTTATCTATTGGATTAGGATAAGGTATACAGCAAACCATTTGGAATTGAAATAATTAGAAATGAGATAATCTAAAGCTTATCCTTATAACTTTGTAGGTCAGTCCTGACCGTAATCAGTTGGTACCAACAGATTACGATCCTATTCTCAACCATCAATTTATTATGAAATTATTAATTTTTTTAATTCATAAAAATCCACTGTTGTTTCACTATATTTATCTATATTCTACATATTATGAAACCTTATTGAAATCACGAACCGACCAATTTTAAACGACCATTGGAAACCTGGAAGCATTAGGCTGCCATTTCTTTCTAGTGTGGGACTCCTGAGCAGTGAGCATCCACGATCTCATACGCGGGACTCGAACACTTGATCTCCAGACCACTGAACCAGCATCGAGCTGTATTAATATTAATGCTTATGGTTTCAATGAAATTCAATGATCTCCACAACCCCATGACGAAAAATATACTGAAATTTTGAAAATCATTATAAACGGAAAATTTACAAACCATTTTGTTTTATCTTTATTTTTGTTTTTAATAGGGTGATACTGGTCCTAAAGGCTATCCAGGTTCCAAAGGAGCGAAAGGAATAAGAGTGAGTGTATAGAGTCATTTACAACTGTATTGTTTGTACTTAACTTATGTAACTAAGAGAGGCCTATTTCATGTTGCGATAAACAAGATTTATCCTTTAGTTACAATGGTTTGATCATTAAGTAGGGGTCATTGTCATGTTTGTCTAACCCTTTTACTACTGATCAAATTCTATAGATCAAGTAACATTCAGGTTATTAGTCTAACTGATTTTATATCACGTGCTCTATGTTGAAATTACAGATGGCCGAATTTAGTCGACAGGCAATTTTAGACCTAGTTTTCGTGCTAGTTGACACTAATCATCGGGGTGTGTATGCTGTCTTGGGTGAACTGGTGCTCCCTGTCAGATTCGACTCTATGTCACCAAGCTTCACAATCCGAGACATTACCACTGGGAAATTCCAGCTTTTACTGACCTTCTGTCCTACAGCAAATCGGGGTCAAATAGATCTTCAACCACCTAACGTTTGCCTTTTAGTGTTAACCAACTTGAATTATGTTCTATCTTGAAATTGAATCATTAAAACTTAGTTGATTTGGTAAAATACTGAGATGACTAAGTTATTCAAACTGATTATATACTAACGAAATTATTCCCCACATTCTAACAAAAAAGAATTTCAAAGACAACACCACTGGTCAACTATTTTGGTATGTGAATTTCTGAATTGAAGTTTATTTATCTTATTAACAAACGGAAGTGGTGTGACTGGGTTAATTATCTGTCACATACCAATTTATTAATGAAGAATAAAATGTATGGCATAAAGTAGCTGATAATCAAGCTTGTTGTAGTAAAGAAATTTGTTTGTGGGGAAATACGTTGCAACTTCTTTTCACAAATCTTTTGAGATTCTTTTCAATTATGTAGTGAAAAAGCTACTAGTACATTAATTATCCAGGTATTAAACGTAAGCCGTTGTGGAAATACTACTTGTGGGTCTGAATACGATAGAATAAGAAATATGCCTTTCCAAAAGAACTAAAACCATAAAAGATCATCATTGTTCCAACATATTATACGATACTCTCATTGAAATAATAATAATTAACTTGATTGTCTAAAACTTGTTATCGAATATTTTATCAATTTTTATATAGGGCATAGATGGAACTATTGGTTCGCCGGGAGCAAAAGGACTTCCAGGTCCCGATGGGCCGCTGGTAAGTTAAAAGAATGATAAAATAAATAAGAAATTTTATATTTTTAAATTAAATGTTTATCTGAAGATTTTGTGATTGATAGTACATATATCTGTTTTACTATCGGCGTTTTCTACAGCAGTTAACTCTTGGGTTGAAAAAAAATGTACTGAGTCATGATATAAGTGACGACAAATAGGAAGATTTCTGAAAAATGTATTTCAGTTAAAGCACTGATGGTAAATAAATATCTGAAAATAGGTTCGGTACATTTTACACTACTTACTGTTTATAAGTAGTATGATTTACCTTACTATTGCTTTCACCATTCTTTTCCAGGGTCCTAAAGGCATTAAAGGAAGTGCAGGACAACCGGGTGTTAAAGTAAGTTGACCTATCAGAATATAAATGTGGTAAAACACTGAGTATGGAATAAAAGCACATTATTTTACTTGAAAAACATCATAACAAAAGACGTCATTCTGTTATTAGGATAGTTCACAAGTTTTGATAAAATTTTGTTCACCGTCAAAAATTTAAAATGATTTCTTGTTAGCACAGGCCTTGTTTTATAGGCTAATGCTACTCCTGTTAATGATATATTTGTCGTCAGAACCAAGTGATTTTAAACAAGATCTATTGTTGCTAGGTACTTAAGTATTGAAAATATTTTTCTATTACTACATCATAATAAAGAAACCGGGAAGTTCAAATGTAATTGGAAGTGAATCTATTTTATAAATCTAAGCTAACATCAAGATTAGCATTTTTCATCATACTGAATAAAAGAGAAAGCTACGAATGCCACACTTTTTAAGACAAAATGTAAAATCTGTTATACATGAGCTAGTTTTTCGAACTATATCTTCAACTAACAAAGCCTTCGAACAATTTGATTTAGGGTGGTCAAGGACGTGATGGTTTAATTGGTGATCGTGGTCCTCCAGGTCCTAAAGGTTTACCTGGAGATCCAGGGGCAGATGGGCTACGTGGATTTGTTGGGGATCCTGGTGAACCTGGGGTAAGTAAAAAAAATCTTTTTTTGGGGAAACCTTAATCTCTGTAATTACATTAGTTTATTATCGTTTGGATTGAGGTCATGAGGTTCATACATTCATTAAATGTGGAAGGTTTTATTGATAAGAGCATTCATCACAAAATTTCCCGTGTTCATAAAACGCGTAATCATTATTGAAGGGATTTATCCTAGAAAAATGAATGGCAGACTAAAATAACTAATTTACAAAATGCTAATCATGTTATTGGAAATTTTAACAGTGATATGTTAAGTTGAGAGGCTTGTGGAAGTTAGATTTGGAAATAGCTCAGATCACGGATTGTCATCGACTGGAGAACCACTGAAAACCAGGGGCCATTGAATATATGAGTAATGGAGTTCGATTATGCTGTGACAGAAAGTTATCGCTGACAGTACTGGATTACAGACATACTAGATCGTGGAATAGCTGTAGTTAAAAATGTAAATCAAGAAGTTCTACAGCAGCTTTCTATCTGAAGCATGACCATAGCATGCTTCTCAGTTTGATCTCCTGTCAGATGACTGATGTATATTGTTAAAAAGCTTCAAACTAGTATGTAATCGCTGTTCACTTTCACCTAGTTTTCAACGTCCCTCCTGATGATTCCAGTTGGTGGCCACAATTATTTCCTCAGAAGCATTTTAGAAATTGCACTAGACGAGAAGTTGAAACAAAAACACTTCAATCACAAGACTATCCATTTATGAGACAGCCGTGTTAATAAGTATGATGACATACATATGATGCGAAGGCATCAATAGCTTTTGTCATAACTCTGTGAATGTGTCTTTATAATACCTTAAACTTGTTTCAAATTAATTATATTTTCCTCATAGTAAACAATTTTGAATTATAAACATGTTTGTACAGTTATGAATACTATTCTGTCTAACAAAAAAGACTTTTCAATTTATTTTAATGCGTTTTAGGGTACCACAGAATGCACAGGTATTTTACCTGGGAGACCTGGACAACGTGGTATACCTGGAGAACCTGGAGAGAAAGGATTTCCTGGAATTCCTGGATCCATAGGAGACAGGGGACTGAAAGGCTTGGTTGGTCCGCAAGGACCGGTTGGTGACCCTGGATTTGACTGTCCCATTGGACCACCTGGTCCACCAGGTCCAAAAGGATCACCTGGTAAATGAAGTATTTAGTTTGAAATGATCTTCATACGCCTAATATTGCCAGAAAATCCCAATCAGACGGATGGTTATCATTATACCTGAAATCTGAATAATAAGAATTATTATTATAACCGATACTCTTTTACAAGTTTCACAAGATACCAACTATCTAACTCATACTATATTTTAATTTATTTCTCAACATTTATAAATGAAAGTAAATTTATCGTTCACCACATGATGATTTGTTTCAGGTGATGATGGACGAACTGGTTTACCTGGATTACCTGGGAGTCCGGGTGATGATGGACTACCAGGCGATAAAGGAGAACCGGGTATTGGCCACAGAGGTGCATCGGGTGATCCTGGAGATAGAGGCTATGATGGGCCTCAAGGTGAGTTACATTTGCATAGTAATTGAAGTTTTAAGTCAGAAGCTTAAATGATAAGTAGCGAACTTGCTAACCTATTTTCAAATCTATGTTTTTACATCATATACGTTTGATATAATTATAAATTTTTTGTTTACTTTGGACTAGTCAAGACATCCTATACTGATTACAACATTAATTCTTTGACACATCTGATTACTACATTGAAAAGTTTCGTTAAGATTTAACGATCTATCAAACTTAAATCATTCAACTGATGTCAACAAATGATAGTCATTCTAACGACCAGTTACAGATTTTACTCCAAATATTCGACATTATAAATGCGAATAGTTTTATGATAATAAATGTCTCGAACAAAATAGTTTTAAACTCACGATTAGCATGAACATTAAATTAAAATAATTATATTCTGAAATAATACATAGAACAATTTAATGTGTAAAGGATAGAGATATTAGGGTAATTTATCAGAAAAGACGTTCACAAATTGTTTTAAAAGGACATTTGTTAGAGAGATTATAATGATGTGAAACAGTAGTTAAGGCCCAGTATTTTCTTAGTAGGAGGACCATGACGTCATGTCTAATAAAGAATAGTATAGTGAAGGTAATTCATCTACAACTAGATAGAAGAAAACAAAAACACAGAACAAGGAACAATAGCTAAAATTACTGTGATAAGTCTGTCTTTACATATATCTTTGATTGTTTTGTAGCCTATTGATTTAAATATATTTTATTCAAATTAATTAACTATGGATAGTGTACAGGTAAAATATCAGTAAGAGTGGGTACATAATAAGGGTACTGATAATAACAGTGGATATATGTTTAAAATCTCTGTAATTCCATTCGTGGACTCAGTCAGTCAGCTGCAACGTAGGACCAGGCACATATATGCATCGGTCCAAGTTGCCATACCTCATTAGCACAACAAGATGAGCACCGGATTCATAGAAGTAGTTAATTCAGTGGTGGTAATATATAAAAGAAAGATTGCATATAAGGAGATAGTACAGGAATAAAGAATTAGTCCGTAGAAAGAAAGATATGAAGAGATTTCATACACATAGTTCCCTTTATCATTTTGAAAAGAGCAAGAACAAAGATTCTAGCAGAATAGCATGAATTCATTTTATTTCGTAGGTTCTCATCAGCTGCTTACAACATGAGAGGGTTTTGGATAAAAGTTATATACGAATATGTCTTCAATATAACTTCTAACCAAACCCTCTCATGTTGTAAGCAGCTGATGAGAACCTACGAAATAAAATGAATTCATGCTATTCTGCTAGAATCTTTTTTCTTGCTCTTTTCAAAATCGATATGAAGAGATTTTAATCCCATAGTTTAAAGGAAGACAGAGAGTGTATACACCGACGCCATTGTGATCGATTCCCATAGTCACACGGACCCCAACCAAGTAGTCTGCATCTACCAACATGGCTCAAACCAGAAGTTAGTGACTTCAAGCATTGATGCCACGTTTTGGTTTGGCCGTCTCTAACTTTCCTCCAATTATCCCTAACACCGGTTAGCATTGCGCGTCGTGGTAATCGGTATTCAGGCATACGCAGCACGTAGTCCAACCATCTCAGTCGATGAAGATTCATAACCTCATCAACTGATTTACTATCATTCCTGTTGGGGACGGTAGATCCCCAAAAACTCATAGTTTGTAATTTATCTTGTGGAACTTGTATGCACATGTATACGTGGGCATTTCTTACCGCCCACGCACATAGTTGATTGACGATGGCAGTCAATCGACGAACTATCGATTAAATGTTTCAAAGCTCCATGACAATATCGATGTATATATAATTGTATATATACGTTTTGAAATTGTCTTGTAAAAAAAGTTTGCTGGTTTCGGGTTGTTGCAGAATATACTTCTCATTCCAAGCTTGGTCTTCTCACTCTAGTTAGCTGGGGCTGGGACGCGTCAATAGATAGCTTACTGGACCTTGGTCACCGAATCCTCGATCTCGTTCTCAAACTACGTGAACCCGTGATAGCTCTCTCTCTCTTTCAAAACCTAACAATTCCCTGATACCCTGCGTCTAACCTCACTATTACTTACCCGGTGATCCCAGCAGATACCAGCACTATTTCTAAGGCATCTGTGGTCAAATACTAGTAACTTACGAATATCTTCAACTCTTAATGACCATGTTTCGCAGCCGCATAGTAGAACGGAACGAACTGCCGCGCAGTATACTCGTCCCTTAATTGATAGACGGATATCTTGTCTTCGTTATAGGTGACGTAAGTTGGCAAAAGCCGAACGAATTTTTGAATCCGTGCTGAGATTTCGTCAGACACCAACCCATTAGGGCTGGTCAGACTTCCAAGATAAGTGAAGTTGTCAACGCGTTCGACTACTTCACTCCCTATCCTTAGTTCAGGTGTTGACGCAGACCAGTCCTGAAGCAATAACTTGCATTTAGAAGGAGAGAAGCTCATTCCAAACATTCTGGCATTGTTGCTCAGTGCTACCAAAAGACTGCATTTTATCAGCGTCTTCACCAAACAGGACTATATCATCTGCGTATTCTAAGTCGATAAGTGGACTTCCTGGTAGATCAATGCCCGAGAATTCAGTCGATGAGAGCGTTATTTCCATCAGTATTGTTTTAAACATACAATTAATTTTATTAAACATGTTTCTGTAAGTACCCATTTTTATAGTGCGTTGGTCAATTCCAGTTGAATATTAACTTCAGTAGGAAGTGATATTATTTTTAAATCATGGCATCTAGACAGTAATATATATCATACACAAATTAGTCTGGCATTCTTAGTTTCTTTCATATTTTATCTTCAGTTTGAATTACTGTTTATCTGGTCTTTGTTAAGACTGTGGCGTTATGACTTTGACAAAAGTTATAAAAAAACATGGATGATTTCAAACAAACAAGAAACCATATAGTAATGGTAATATTTTTAATTTAGCAAAGCTAAGTTTATTCGAGCATCCATCTGATGTTATGATGATCATATGATCAAACAATACATATTTGTATACCTACTCTTCAAATTTACCTATATACTTTGTCATGTAATAAATCGTTGTCGATTTTTTCTCAAAGGTCCGAAAGGTCCAAAGGGTTTAAAAGGTGAACGTGGATTGCCAGGTACTAAAGGATCTGGTCGTCCTGGTCCACCAGGTGAAAAAGGTGAACGTGGACTAGATGGTTTAGCTGGCAAACATGGAAAACAAGGTCCAATGGGGCCTCAAGGTCAGTTAATTATTTAAATTATTGAGGAGTGCCTCTTTAACATGGTAACGTAAATAATTAATGTATTAAGTAGTGATCAAGAAATTATATCAATACATAGGGATTAAAGTTCACCTATGTGCTAGTCAATAATATGAAAACGAATGGAATATTGATAAACTTTCACAGAAAATGGTTTATGAACACTTTTCCTTATTAGCTGATAGTAGCTCATGAAAGTGAAGTAACTGATTGGCTATACTTAATAAGTAGTAACACATTGACCAGAAAATAAATAATCATTTAAATGGTGAACCAATAAACTAACCTACTATTTGGATTTTTAGCTTAGAAAAGTAGCTATCGACATAAAAGTGGTTTTACCGGAAAGATGCATAACTCCAAGTTTTTGAACACATAACTGGTTAGTACCGAATAATATTAAAAGTCACTGTATACTTGGTACATCACTGCTAATTCTGAATATTTAGGTGAACCTGGAGAACGATGTAGTGCGTGTAGACCTGGTGTACCTGGGGCAAAGGGTGAAAAAGGTGATATTGGTCCAGCTGGTCTTCCAGGTCCACGAGGTCGAGATGGTGCCAAAGGAGAACGAGGAAGTCGCGGTGCTCCCGGGAATCAAGGTCGTACGGGTTCACAGGGTTATGAAGTAAGTTTACTTAGATTTTGATTTCACCGTTTTATGTTAAGACATCTTTTCGTTTAATATAAAGAACACAGAAGAACAAGATCGTTTATTGACTTCAGACTATAAAACCCCAGAAAGTACAAATACTTAACCAATCGATTTTATCATGAATAATTGTATCTAGTTTATTATCAAAATATTCACATTATAACAATTCGGTTGTTCTAGTCGACATAAGGAGGACCGAGTTCAAACGTGCGACCTAGTGGTCGAAAGTTGAGTACTTCGGTCAATAAGTTGCCTTTCCAGAAGTTGTTTCACCGTAAATTGTGCTCTAATGCGATGTTTAAAGGAACTAACTAGGACCAATACTCTAGAAGTCTTGTTTTTGTCCCTGTGTGAATGCAAATGTTGTGTGATATTTACCTTAGATAATCAATATAAGTAGTTATTACACATAATAAATATGTTAATAATCGTTTATATGATTACGTGACATTAGTGTTATTTTATTTTATCGACAGCTGTATATAAATTTCATCACGTAATATTTGATTTCTTAATCTTTCTTTAGGGTGATCAAGGTGAACATGGTCTCCCTGGACCAAAAGGTTTCAAAGGTGAACCAGGTGAAACAAGAACAGAATACACTGGAATTTTGAAAGGCCCTAAAGGCTATCCCGGTGTGGATGGAGTCAAAGGTGACAAAGGGATCAAGGGTATTATGGGCTCTCCAGGAGAAAAAGGAGAACGTGGATTAGAAGGACCACAGGTTGGTACTTTTAAAAATTACTCCGTTATATGCATTATTGACTACCTGTAGAGTTTTTAGTGCGAATTTCATTAAATCTATTGTCTGCTGGTTTAAATAGAATAGATATTGCTCATAATTTTGTCAGTTACATTAAAAGGTGATAATTACATTGTTTATTAATATTATCTAAATATGAACTGTTTTTTCCCCCTCCAGGGTGACCCTGGTTTGCGAGGTTCACCTGGACAGAAAGGTCCTAAAGGTATATTGGGCGAAAAAGGTTACAAAGGTGCGACAGCTGATGTTAGATTTGGTGATAAAGGTGAAAAAGGTCAACCTGGACGTCCTGGATTGAAAGGTGAATTAGGCGATTCTGGAGAACCTGGAAATTGTACTGTGAATGTTATACAAAGTCGTAATCTAACTGGTATGTTCATTAACAGTTCTTTTAGTGAACATAAAATCTATTTTCTAACAACTGAATAAAAATTTAGAGAAGGAAAAGTACTAAAAATTCATGAATTTTATCAGTAAATTCTTAACTTATATGAGTTAGTCATTTGATCAATATTGATGAAAATTTTTAAGTGATAAATAAACTTAGGTGGGTAACTAGTTCCAAATTCTTTTGAACAAGATATGAAATGCCTTTACTGATAATCTGAAGTTTTGTGGAATCAATAGCACTAGTTTGTTTCGTATCTAATACTTGAATATAAAGTTTAATTAATAAACTAGTACGATACAATTGCCCCCTTCACTGGTTATTTTTAAATTTGAATACAATAGATCAAGGTGGTCTGTGTGCGTATACAATGTGGGAGATGAAGTATTTTTCGAGGAAGTTAGTGTTCAATGACTTAACTTAATTGTACTATCCGAGCTTCGAAACATTCATTTTCATATCGGACTAGATGTTGACGAATATATAAACTATCGAACAATACATAACCTGATGATTATTGCTAAATGAACGCTTGATACGATTTCCTAGCTACTTTTAACAACCCTAGGTTGAATTTACACAGCAACTTGAACACAAGAGAATAAAACGTGATGTGCAAAGCTAATGACTGATGATAAGGAATTATTTGATTCCTAAAATAAATAAAAATGATTTAAAAAACACACCATTTTCTACATGATTTATTGACAGATAAGTTAGTAATCATATTTAAATAAAGTGAAATAAGTAGTATTTAACAATAATAACTCAATAATTTACTATGTGAACACATATTTTCAGTGAGTTTGTAGGTATCATTACCAAAGTTTGACTTGACAATTTCGAATAAATTGAACATTGATTAGATTGTTATAAATAAAAGTAATATATCTGTAATATCCCAATGAGTAGAAAAATTAGATTTTCTGACGTTTCGTGACTCAGTGTAAGCGAAGTGTAAGAGAATAAATTCTCTGAAGAAGTAGCTTACACCGAATCACGAAACGTCAGAAAACCTAATTTTTCTACTCATTGGTGTATTACAAATATACTGTTTATTTATTTACATATTTTCAATATTATACAATTAAACATCTATAATCTCTCTTAAGATGTGGATACATTTTCATATATAATTTTTATCCCAGTTGACCAAGCTATTAGCCAAAACGACAGAATTAATTGTTTTTTAAAAAACTTATTTCTTTTTTATGTATTACTTTCTTTTGGGAATCCATCAAACCCATTTATTTGTTGTTTAATATCCACTTTTTTCTTGTTTAGTTGAAAAAGGTGATCGTGGACCCAAAGGTGAACCTGGACCAAGAGGAGATAAAGGAAAACCAGGTGATGAAGGTCCACCTGGTCAACCTGGAGATAGTGGGATTAGAGGTATAAAAGGACTCCCAGGAATACCTGGACCTGCTGGAATAAAGGGAACTGTAGGTGAAACAGGTAAGATAAATTTGATCTCCGACAGTTATATCAATAGTATGTTATCCCATATAGAAGAAGAAATATTTCAATAAACAAAAATAAATCTTATCAAATGGCCATGTAAATCCTTCCGTACTATTATCCCAACCACAACTATTGTGTAGCGGATAGTACATTAGTGAAGCTACATTTAGTGTCTAAATTAATGATCTGCAGCTTCTCACACAGATGATAAAAACCAAAGCTGTATGTGGTAATCAATATTATGAATTCTACCTTGAAAAAATACATTATTAACTAGTTATTGTAGTGGCTTTATTTTGCGATGGGTAATCAAAGTGAAATATTGTTGAACCATTTTCTACATACTAACTACTGAAATTACTACAGTTGTATTAATCTAACAGTATTGTTTCACTATACTTATTAGTTTACCTTTTACTGACTTCCTAACTGGTAGCCGAGTTACTGTTTCTTTATAAAATGTTTAATTTTTAAATAATTTAACTTGAACTTACGACTTTAATTTCATCTTTTAGGTGATCCTGGTGAACAGGGTAGCCCAGGAGAACCAGGGTCCGCTGGAGTTACTGGAGTGAAAGGAGATGTAGGTGATATTGGCCCTATAGGAGATCGTGGTTACCCAGGTAAGACTTAAGGAATTGTAAAATAACTGATTTTGAAAGGTATATCATTTTAATCAAAAAAATTCTGGAAATTTTAAGAGTGAATTGGTCTGATGTTTTAATTTAAAGTTGGAGATATTCAGCTTAAATTCTTTATATGATCAAATGTTGAGAAAAAGATGAATAATGGTTTGGGTATCATCACCAAAACTTTTATATAAATCAATTTATCAGTGAAAGGTGAACAACATATTTTATACATTGCTCATATGTTGAATAATTTTTAAATGTTACAGGGCAAAGTTTTTATTCAAGCAATACTTTTAATAACTTCCACAGGTCCAAAAGGAGAAAAAGGATTGCCTGGTCAACCTGGAACTGGAATCCCCGGAGAACGTGGTGAACCTGGGCGGCCAGGTATACCAGGTCCTAGAGGTTCACAAGGAGACCCTGGTATGATTGGTGATCCAGGAGATCCAGGTAAAAATTATGTTGCAGTTGAGAGTATTATTATCCAATCATTTTATTGCACTTTTGTGAAACAGCCTATGTTCTAAGAGAAATATTATGTTTCAACGCCGTCATTAAAGTAATTGCATGCACTTTTAAAATAAGTTATTAATTTTGAGTTTTTTTTAATGAGTTAACATAAAATGCATTTGCTTATTTATTTATTATTGTTAATATCATTATTATGATTAATAGGATTACATGGAAGACCTGGATTAGCAGGAGAACGTGGAGATATTGGTCTACCGGGACTTCAAGGTGATCCTGGTCCAAGTGGTGGAGCTGGTATTAAGGGAATTATGGGTGATCCAGGAGATAGTGGAGAACCAGGTGTGTTTAATCAACAAGTAAACGTGATTAAATACTTATGTGTACCGTTTTTATTTAAAAGGTATCCACTTTAACAAATATTATGTCTGGTAGTGAGATCAAAGGTGATATTCTAAAAAGTGGAATCAAGAAACTTCAAATACTGATGTTTAATAAAGGAATATGAAATATGTAAGTTATGTTTAAGAAACATTGCATTTACAAGTGATGGATGTGTCTGTTGACACTGGTTCAGCTACTGGAATTGATTTGAACCTGAATTATTAAGTATGGTTCATTGTAATCTAACGCCTGTTTTTGATTGTTACTTCGAAAGTGAGAATTGAAAATTTTTGAGGCAGTACATAAGCTGACATATTTTACTTTGACTAACTTACAACTTTCAAGAATTTTGCTACTAGTAAGGAGTAACTTAAGTCTAAGTACAGCAGTATATCAAGGGAATTTCTGGTAAAATATAACTTGTTGGTAATAGTATCTTACTACAGAGTTAATTATGCCTCCTATGTTCTATTTTAGGTTTGCCTGGACGTCCTGGTATACCTGGAGATAAAGGCAGATGTCTCGGAGCAGCGGACAAAGGAGAACCTGGACTTCCTGGTCCAGAAGGTCCAGAAGGACAAAAAGGCGAACCTGGACTAAGAGGTGCGAAAGGAGAGCGAGGACCATCAGGTCCAATTGGACGAACAGGTAAGTCAATCATCATTATTTCCGAACTAGTGCACTTATTTTTAAACCATACGCAGTTTATTGCATCCTAAAACAGTAGGTGGTTGGATGTACATATTAAAGTACTGTTTCTTTAAAAATTATTTATTGAAACTTAAAAAGTATGTTAATCCACAGTTTAAATTTGAAGTTCAAGACACTTAATAATCATTCCTCTTCAAATCACTTAAAATTATTGAATCTTACTTTTACATTTCCTTCTTTGCAGGTGAAAAAGGTTTGAGGGGCGAACCAGGCTTACCTGGACCAGATGGTCCTTCAGGCGATCCAGGTCCTCCTGGCCGTCCCGGAACTACTGGTCCTAAAGGCTTTGAAGGATCACCTGGGCCAAAAGGATTCGAAGGACCACCAGGTAGTACACTAAGGCGTTATCTTTGTATTTGATAAATAGATTGATATTTTTCAAACTTTACAAACATGATGCAACAGAATAAATGGATATGGTAAAATGAATGCCATTGAATAACGCAAATAAATAGGAAGTACGATTGGCTTTCTCAGGACTCTGAACAGCAAGAATGGCAGAACGCAACGTCTAGAAAGAGAGTATAAAGATTAATTACTTCTCAAAAACACAACACTATACGCATTTTTAACCAACTTAACATCACTTGGAAAAATTGTTTGAGGGTTTGAGCTTGTTGATCTAAAAACATGATAAATTATTTAATGGAAATATTCTAATAATCAAGTAACGGAATGAATTAAAAGTTTTAGTCTAGAAACTTTTATCTTATTCACTAATAGTGTGGTGTTGAGAGTTAATTAAAGTATATCCTGTTAACACGACTAGATAAATACGATTTTTTATAATAACCTATGTTACTTTCCTTAAAGACGCACATGGTTAATGTCTTCATTAAATATTCATCCATCACCTATACCTAAATACAGATTTCTGCGAAACAGCGAACAGTTAGATTTATCAGTTCGCCTTAGATTTAGACCACGATAGTTGCATCAGACAGATCACTTTTAATTATTAACCAATTAGTTCTAACTATTTAAAGTAACCACTTGTCTTCATGAGTTTTTCAGTTCATAATAGTTCATTTGAATCACTTATATTTACGAGTGAAAAAAACATTATAGGTATTGATATTCCCCAGTGTCCGATTCATACAGTCTTTTAGTTGAGTGTAAAAATCTTATACGTAACTTTGTGTATTATTTCAGAAATATCGAGATCTATCACCATCATTTTAGCTAAACTCGTTTCCTGGACATTTAACTTCAAACATGTTATCTCCACCTATTCTTTAGGACGTTGGTGATCATAACCTTTTGACTACTGACTAAATGCCTACAAAAATTAGAATTATGTTACAGATTTTTGTCTACATACAATGCAAAGCATATTTAGCAAACAATATAATAAATTATATTCCATCATTTTATGAATGTAGGTAGTCCTGGTGATGAAGGTCAACCGGGTCCAAAAGGTGAATCTGGTCTTCCTGGTACAGACTCATTTGGTGCGAAAGGTGATACAGGAGAACAGGGTCCTCAGGGTGATGTTGGAGAAAAAGGTTCCACTGGAAAACCTGGTTTACGTGGGCCTCCAGGTGATGCAGGAACCAATGGCCAAGCAGTAGTTGGAGATGTTGGTGATACCGGAGATATCGGCGAGAAAGGTCTACCAGGGGTGCCTGGAGATCCTGGATTACCTGGACCTAAAGGTTCCCCTGGAGTACCAGGTTTAATTGGGCCAAAGGTACGTCGATATCACTCCCATTTCTCCAGTTGCTTACCTGAACAATGTCTGCGCATGTTTTTTTCAAGATATTAGTTACTTTTCTCTATCTTAACTGCTTTTGTAACTTCTACTTTCAGGGCATAGTGGGAGATCCAGGCGTGCCTGGTTTGCAAGGTCGTCCGGGAAAACCCGGTCAGGAAGGCCAACCTGGCCTGCCAGGTCCTAAAGGTTTTCCAGGGGGGAAGGGTCAAAAAGGTATCAAAGGGGAACGTGGTGAACCGGGAGAAACAATAGTTGGCCGTGATGGGGAACCTGGTGATATGGGAGAGCGAGGTATTCCTGGACTTCCAGGACCTAAAGGAGACAGAGGATTCCCAGGTCAGATAAAATTTGTGACCATGTACCATGTACTCATAATATTTTTTCAACACGATTTTAATTCATATATATTGGTTGTTTGGATCTTCCCATCGATGTTTGGGACTAGAAGTGATCAGTCTGTTTTGGCGTTTGTGCATCCATCTCTAAATAAAATTCTTTGGACAATATAATTTTATGATTAACATTATTCTATTCATTCTTCTCACCACAATTTAGGTGATGCTGGACCAAAAGGCTTACGAGGTTTGCCAGGCCGAGTGGGTGACAAAGGTCAGATGGGAGTATCTGGAGATAAGGGTGAACCAGGTATCACTGGAGACGATGGATATCCAGGTAGAAAGGGAGATAAAGGTGAATCCGGTGATATTGGACCTATAGGTGATCCTGGACCAAGAGGACAACCCGGACCTAAGGGTTTTCCTGGTGCTCCTGGTCAGTGTTTACCAGCTGAGGAAAGTCCTATTGGAGATCCTGGTCCACAAGGTCCTAGAGGGCCACCGGGTGAAAAAGGTTTAACAGGTAATTATAATAATAGCTTGTACTTGAGAGTAACTTATAATACTTTTCAATATTCTGTCAAAACCCTTGTAAGAACATGATCATTCTTCGATAGTAAGAATATAGAAACTAAATAATTGCAATGTGGATAAATATCTGATACAAACTAAGAAATTTAAGTCTATATAGCAAAGCATACAATCATTTAGTCATACGTGGAGATCATTCGCGAATCTTTACTGAATTCATTTCTAATTTGACTTATTGGTTTAAGAGGAAAAGTTCATTGAAAGCATTTTAAAAATACTGTCATGAGTAAAGGTTTAACTACATTGGCTTCCTCATAATATTTTTGTTTTAGAACATAGAATATATAACCAAGTTCACTATGAGGCAGTTGTATTCTCTTGAGGAATAATACTCATTCGTATACTATTACGAACCCTATTCCTACGTAAAAAACTTCTTACTAATGGTAATGAGGTCTTCAAGATTTTATCATTGTAAAAATATTCACAATCAAATCCTACAGTAGCGAAGGAATTTTAGTTCTTGTAAGCTAGAAATTTAAATGGTTTTCATATCGTATTAATTCGATCCTAGTTAACATGAAACCTAACATTTCCGTTACTATTATTTCTTTAATTCTGATGTTATTAGGGCTACCAGGTAAAGTGGGTAAAACAGGTGATCCTGGTCCACCTGGAAGAGGTATTCCTGGTTCCAAAGGTCAACGAGGTGATCCTGGACTTCGTGGCCTTACTGGTAAGTGACAAAAAAATTCACTGATTCCTTATATATATTTTTTAACCTAAACAGAATAAGTTAATTGGATGTAAATAAATAAATTTAATCACTAATAACCAAATCTTTTCATATATTGAAAGATTAATCAAAGTAGATCCACACCATTATATATTTCATCAATGGATGAACTTATTGCACCAAGTTCTTAGAAAAGAATTGTTCTTCCACCCATTGGTGTACTTTAAATACTGTAATATCACTCAAGAAAATAGTTATCATATTTTTAATACTACTTATGAGTAGTCTATAATAATAATGTCAATATGCATAGTTTCAATTTATTTTTCCTAATATTTAGCTTTGTAAACCATAAGAGCACGACTGAATTTGAAGAGGAAATAAAAACATACAAAGTTGAACAGGTGCGATAAGGGCAAGATCTATCAACTAAATGCTTCATCAAAGTTTTACACTTTCATGTTCCGCTTCGATTTTCATAACTACTAATTTGAACTGTGGGGATTCTGGCTAAATCAAGAATTATTACTACGATAAAAGTTACTGACTAGAAACTCATTAGTATTCGCCTTACCGCAAGTTACTCCACCGGTTTCCCGTTATGGTTCTGGTCCTGGTTCAAAGATGACAGCTTCTGTTTGATCCAGGTTGTATTTAATTAGATTATCGTTGCTTAAATGCAGCAAACTTCTTTCCTCATTACAGAAGTTGATTTCTTATTTTGTGCAGTTAGTGATAACTGATGATAGTGATATCCTTTTACTAACGTTAGGTGTTCACTAAATGTTTATATATAAATATTTGTTTTAGGGGATTTGTGGCGAATGGACTCAGATTCCAATATTCTAGATATACATCTTTTGAATGCTCACTATCTGTGGCTCATAAACTTCCCTGTTTCTTTCTTTATGGTCATAACTTAGGTCCAAAAGGTGAACAAGGTGAGGCAGGAGATCCAGGTGATATGGCCCTACCTGGGGCTAAGGGTCAAAGAGGTTATCCTGGAATTAAAGGTGAAAAAGGTGAACTGGGGATGCCAGGAGATATTGGCCCAAGAGGTCCTATTGGAGATCCAGGTCCTCCAGGGGATGTTGGATTACCAGGTGACGATGGAAGACCAGGGTTATTGGGCCCTAGAGGTGATAAAGGAGATACTGGCTGGCCAGGAACAGTTGGAATGAAAGGTGAAATCGGAGACGTTGGTGATCCTGGACCAATAGGTGCACCTGGAATGCCTGGAGAAGATGCTATTGGTCTTCCTGGAGTCAAAGGAGACAAAGGTGAACCAGGAGCACCTGGGCAAAAAGGAATGATTGGGGAGCCAGCACCACGGGGATTAAAAGGAGCTAAAGGAGAAATGGGATTGCCCGGTCCCACTGGTAGAGAACCTGGAGAACCAGGGCCGAAAGGAGATCCAGGGTTAAAAGGTACTCCTGGTGATATTGGTCCAAGAGGTATGCCTGGGGATGTTGGACCCCCTGGACCTGAAGGATTCAGTGGTCCTCCTGGTCAAGCACTACAGAGCACCTACTTGTTCACAAGGCATTTCCAAAATCCTGACACTGAACCTGTATGTCCTCCAGGTTCACAAAAAATATCAGACGGATATAGTTTTGTAATGGCTAATGGAAATGGTGAATTAGTAACCATGGATTTAGGTATGTATTAACTATTTAATAGCCTTTGAATCTACAAACTGTCTTGTTCTTTTGTATAAATTTTAGATAGTGAGATGAAAATAATTTTGTATCCCAAAACATTTCTTTATGTTCTGAGCTGTTTTTGTTTTTGGAACAATGTTAAACAAATACTTCTGGGGAAAGATCCTCGCTACTTGAATAGTGCAATGTATATTCGATTGACTGAAATAGCTTAAAAAGCAATATATGTGTTTTACCGAAAAGCTAGAGTGTATTAGAACTTAAGGTCAGTACTCGATTAAATAAGATATCATCGTCATTCACTGCTAGATGTCGGTGATTGAAATAATCGACAGTGATCATTTATGACTGTTTTGTTGAGAGAGTAAGGAAAAAGGGTCTTGTTTAAGTATAAGATAAAATATATGGTAAAGTCATTTTTAAACCTATATATTACAGCTCAACTTACAACTTATTACAAATCTATTTAAGCCAACTTGCCCACTGTTCATTACTACATGTTATTTTTACACTGTTAATAAACAACTAGACAATTTAACTAAAATCTGAAGACAAAATTCCATGAAACCGAAATATGCGGTATGGTACATTTATCTACAATGGTTCACCGAGCTTTTTATTGCTGTCAAACTTGTTTGTTGAAACGTAGTTTCAATAATTAGTTACAGTTCATGTATTAGATTCTGATAACTTTTTATATATTCAGAACAAAAAATAACTTTTGTATTCTTAGTATATTGAGAAGTAGAATTTTTTCCTATTTTTATTTACTTACCAGCTAATACAAATATTTGCGAATGTTTATCTTTTGTCAGGTTCTCATAGTTCATGTTTAAGTATGTTCAGCATAATGCCATTTTTCCAATGCCTTCGCGATGGATCTTGTCAACTTGGTGTTCGAGCTGATCGTTCTTACTGGTTAGCTACCACAGAACCTCTTCCAATGATGCCACTAGATGTAAGCGAAGTTACTCGAAGAGTTGCTCGTTGTGTTGTCTGTGAAGCACCAACACAACCTTATGCTTTTCATGCACAAGCAAATCAACTTCAAGAAGTTAACTGTCCAGAAGGCTGGGCAAGACTTTGGGATGGATATAGCTTTGTAATGGTAAGATTATAAATCTATATATTTTCTTAGTTGAACAATTTTAACACTGTAAAGTATAGCTTATTAAATCTATGCCTGGTAAACATACTGGAAACACTTCTAAGCCACCCACGTGTACGCAAATAATGTTTAAAAACCTTGGGCGAAGAAGAAAATACAAATGTGATCATAGTGTTACCTAATCACTTTTTTATCTGAAGAGATATCAAAGAAAAGTATTTTATCCATCTGTATTTCTATTACTATTTTGTAACAAGTCATATTAGTTTTTCTCTACATTTAACAGTAATGGTCTGACAGAATTTAGTATGTATCAAGTTTTTACGGTGATTTGGACTTTTAAATCTACCTTCATTATATTTTCATCCAAAAAGACAAGAGTAATACTCCATAAATTACTCGTCATTTTCACTTTGTTCAAATGTTTGTAAAGTGTTAATACTACCACATATTTAAAGTAATAGGTACAGATATTTTCTTCTAAACCTTAGTTCATATTTCATTTCTGTTTTGTTGTTTCTTTTCTCTGTCTCATAATTTTATTACGTGAGATCATTGTCGTTTAGTCGGTCTTTATAATTATTAGTAATAGTCAGAAATAAAGTTTTTTGAAACACAACTAGTGATGTCTATGAATGAATTACCACTTTACTTAAGAAGAATATATGACTTAATCTTATAGTTATTAGTTATTAGAGTCATAAATTATCTGTTAATACCAACGGTCTTCAAGGTCCTTCCAGTAAGAAAGCTAAAAACGCTTAGTAATTCAGTAGTTAAACGTTTAACGTATCAATAATAAAGCTAAGAAACTATACTATCATAATAAACTATAGTGAATAAAAAAGGTTTTATTCATGGACACATCGGAAACAAAGTCTAACTAATGTGCATTATGTCCAGTATGTAAAACAAACAACTCTTAAATTATTTATCCCTCAAAACCAGGGTAGTAGAACTGAGGATAAAAAAATGATTTTATGAATACATAATAAATATATCATTTTAAATATTCTGTTTTTAATAGCATAGTGTTGGAAGTACTGGTGGTGGTCAACAACTTTCATCACCCGGCAGCTGCCTTGAATATTTCAGTTATTCTCCATTACTAGAATGCAACAATGGTATGAGTTTGTGCAATTATTGGTCAGATGCAAAAGCTTATTATCTACGTCATGTCAGTAATAATACAGAATTTCAAAAACCAGTCGGTCAATATATTACAGATCATTTACCAGATGAAACTAAAGTACTACGTGAAATAAGTCGATGTCGTGTTTGTACTAAATCTCGGTTCCAATCATATTTTGTTTAGTTCAAAGGAAGATACAAAGAGTAAGAAGAATAAAATGAAAATATTAGACAATTATGCAATTTTTATGGAATAAAAATGATTATTACAATTTACTATGCATTAATTCAGGATGTTATATAAGAATATATATATGTATGTCGCTTGATAAATATTTGCCTCTATTGTTTTTATCAACTTATTCTAGATGCTTATTTCGATTTAACTCTTTTTCTGGAAAATAAAAATATTTTCCTTTCAACAATATTACTTTTTCTTTTGCTTACTTTTATGTTGTTTCTGAACTCTTTCCCCCCCCCCATGCAAGTGATATATACGTGTATTTTATTGCAAGTGTATTTGTGTTTTATTATGAATCTGATTATTACTATTATTATTATTATCAATATTATTATAATTATATAAAATAGAGAATCTTAAAGCTTCATAAAAAAATTTTGTTTTCATAATATCTCTTATATTGATTATCTCATTTACCAAATGAATCAGATAGAAATTTCTGTTGATGAATGTTTATTGTGATTGTTCTTTTTAATTTGATCTTTACAAACCTATTGGGTGTTATATTTTGTTTTACGTGATTATATAAAAATGTACGGATTTGATTTTTTAGGGATTTTTTTCTTTTAAGATTATCCAATGAGTGCATTTTTTCAAAAGTATTTGTCTCCCATTTTTTTCCATCTTTACCGATTGTAATCACAAAATATTATCTAATGTTAAATATTAAATAATGAAACTCATATCAATCAAAAATAACTTTTGGATTAACTAAAAGAATATTGTTTTATGATTAAAATTTTAATCGACTAATAGAAGTTAAAGTTCATTATTTATGCACGACACACTTTTATTCATTGAACAAGTTGTAAAACAACTTATTCTCAGATTATCCTTAACTTGTTTATTTGTCAATATGAAAAGTCCTCAAATCATATTGGTTTATACCACAAATTCTTAATTATTGATTCTAAGTGGTCAAATATAGGACATTACTACATTTTTTTTGTGTTACAAAAAAGATTTCTATGTAGGTTGATGCGAAGCAAAGTTAATGAGGTAACTCATTTTTGTCAGATTATGTTATAATCCTGTATTGGCTACTGTTTAAAGCGGTTTTACAAAACTAAGAGTTTAAACATCCAAATGTTTCGTAAACGTTTGTTTATCGTACAGTTTTTACATTACAAATTTTAAAGTAGAGAATTTCACCAGCAATGAGACTAATTTCTGAGTTCCTATAGAATAGTAGCTTTTGATTCATTTTTCCACCAATGTACAAGGCGTGGAAGGCATTTTTGAATATTACCCATAGTTAACCAAGCCTTTCTCTAATTTTAACCCAAACCTAACGATGCTGTGCATCTTAATCTTTGAGAACCACCAGACTGCATCCGTAGACAAATGATGGTTACATCATGTGTTATTCTACCATAATATCACTTAAAGTTAAGTAACCAGCCATTATTTTCATACCAAACAGAGTCTACACCCAATATTTATTAAACTTTCCTATCTACGTTTTTGAATAGGTTACAGTTTTACTACCTTTAAAACTCCTAAACGTTTGTACCCGTTCAGCAGTTTTCGTTTAATGTAGTTTCCTTTTTGATGAACAAGTAAAGTGACTTTTTAAAAATTCGGTAGCATCATTTTAAAAAATATCATAATACACGTCAGGAAATATAACGTTTGCTACATATACTTGTTGATAAAGTTATAATGAATAAGACTTATTCCATAATCGGAAACACTCTTAATCGAGACTAGTGTTTTGAGAAGCAATGAGTCTAACTTATTTTAATGCACTAATGTTTAGCTACTCAGTTATATTATACATACCTGAGATAGTACTTTCATCTCATTATCTTCTGAAAGTGAGTTTCTGACGAGACTAACTATCGTGGCAAAATTATTTGTTATCATGAACGTTTTAGAGTGGCGTGATATTCGTGGTGCGAACTTCTGCCATTTCTAATAGAATAACCATCAATACCACCAAAGTCAAAAACTACTGTTACATCTCCAAGTTTAAGTTAATGATTTTGATACTTACGTTTGCATTATACAGATCATAATTGTCTAGTTTTAGGCATAAATTATACGTAAAGAAAGTGAAAAGGGTTGCTTGGATCATAAGCATCTGAAATAAATGTTTTTTACTTGATCATTCACCAAAGGTTCATTCCCGAATACTGCTCTGATAGTTCACTTCTCAAAGCAATTTGGATTAAATGTGCTTAATTTTTTGCTAAAACGTCGTAATTAATAATTTGCTCTTGATTTGAAAATGATAGAGATACTCAAATTGTATATTGAATCTGAGGAGAGAGCAAACTCAGTCTATTTTAATCCAAAGAAACTCAAAAAACAAACTGGCTTGTGTTTACGAAGCGAACTTCTATTAACCGAGAGATGTCTTGATGCTTTAAACATAGTTCGATCTCAACAAAAGATAATCTTCGCTATTTTGTTCAGTGCATTTTCCTGTATCCTAAAAATGGACGTTTTGTGTTCTTTTTTGTTTGATTTTGTAGAGAACAAAACAGCTAGTGTAAAACTTTTAATTCCAAAATTTGCGAATTATTTATTTAACATGTTACAGTATGTGACGTATACAAATTATTTACAACATGACCATAAGTTTTTAAAACTGCGAATTATGTGTTTCATCAGTTTTCTTTCTTTTATTCTTCATCCATAAGGCAATATCCATTTTCAGTACCAGAAAGAGCTAAAAAAGATTTTAAAAGTTATCATTATGCACTCAATAAGTAGTAAAAATCATTCCAAATCTAGAACGCTTTATGGAACAAAAAAACTTTATGATATAAATGTTTCGATATTTTTAATAAAATCACATTTAAAATGGAAATTAAATAATTGTTTGTAGTAGTAAGTCTCAGTAATATCTTGTAATAACATAGCCCTAAGCTTTCTGTGAGGTGACGTACATTTTACATAATGAATATTTGTTTCCTGAACTTCCTGATGAGCAATTTTTCATGAATTTTTTTACTCTCATTAGTAAACACCACTGAGTTCTGAAAACCCAGTCGGGTTTATATCATTGGAAATTTCGCTTCACACTTGACGAAGAGACTTTGGAAGATGTAAAAACCTTTACATATCTGGGCAGCATCATTGATAAACATGGTAGATCTGATGCAGATGTAATGGCGCGGATTGGCAAAGCAAGAGCAGCATATTTACAACTGAAGAACATCTGGAACTCAAAACAACTCTGAACCAACACCTAAGTCAGCATTTTTAACACATGTTGACAGGTCTATTGTATGGGGTGGAAACCTGGAGAACTACAAAAGCCATCATCCAGAAGATACAAGTGTTTATTAACAGTTGTCTATGCAAAATATTCCGGATCCGTCGGCCAGACACTATCAGCAACAACCTACTATGGGAGAGAACAAACCAGATTTCAGAGGAGGAAGAAATCAGGAAGAAGCGCTGGAAGTGGATAGGACGCACATTGAGGAAAGCACCCAACTGTGTCACAAGTCAAGCTCTCACATGGAATCCTGAAGGCAAAAGGAGGAGAGGAAGACCAAAGGACACATTACGCGAAGAATGAACAAGAATTGGATAGAATCAGAAAAAAGAGACCCAGGACAGAGTGGGTTGGAGAATGCTGGTCGGCAGCTTATGCTCCACTGTGAGTAACAGGTGTATGTAAGTAAATTTCGTCAATTTAAAGAAACCTAAAACTGAGGATGCTTACTAAGGTATAATCTGGAAAACAAAATAATCTTACAAAGCCAAGAGTGAATTAAGTGATAGCAACAACTTTTATGCAGAGAATACTTGTTTTTTAACCTTTTTAAAGCAATGAATTGCTTAGCATATTCAGAGTACATTCACTACAAATCAGTATATAAGTAAGATTTTTGTTACCCCAGTGGTTATTAACTTACCACTTAAAGATAAAACTTGAGCGCAATAATTAAAGGCTTTAGTACGACGGTAATCGACGTTCAAAAAGTGTAACTAACCAGAGAACTGATAAATAATAAATGTTGTGTTGGTGTATGGGTAAGGAAAATAATGATTCGATGTTTACCCATTCAGACTAGTAGATAGTCTGACAGATCTTAGATGTGTTAAATATTGTCTTACCCTTATTATTACTGATGTCAGTTGTTGACGTGGAAATATACTCACTTTCTAGTCAGGCCAATTATCTGTTGTTGATTCGAGTTGTGTTGCAGTCCTGTAGAATGGACACTAGGAGGGCATCCAATGTAGATATTAGTCTAAGATAAATTTGTGTTCCATTGGTGTAAGAGAGAAAAGTGAGAGTTATTTCACATATGTTAGTTACCTTGTTGTACATCATTAAAAGAAATCCTGGAAGTTAAAAGACATTGGTTTTAAAAACACTATTCCAGGCTTGTCTATTATTTTACAATATTCCATCCGTATAATTCAGTATAGACTTAAGACTGACTACATTTGTTATGCCATTGTCAGTCCTAGGAAAACGGTATCGTAATTTTTATGACAAATGCAAGTATTGAATCTTTAGTTATTTTAAAATTATGAGTATTTTCTTTATTAATTGGTCTTTATGTGACAACTAACTCACCTATACAATTTTTGTCGGGCATTTTATTATATGATGCTCATTTAGTTAACCACTAGTTTTGTCTTCTAAGGACTGACCTGGTTAGGTAAGCCGGTCGATAATGTGAGTTAACTATTTGTCCAAACACTTTAGTCATATCACTTATTTTATCAGATCGTTTACCCATCATAACGCTAAGCTCATGAACTAACATGACATTTATGAGAATCATGACTTAGACACATCGAGCTACGTAAAACCCTTAGGTCTGTTGCTGGCCACTCACAGCTTTTTGAACCAAACAGTTGTTATTGCAAGTCTCAACTGAATGTCACCAATCAGTATATTTACCATTGTTAAAATGTAAATAGCATTCCAACAAATACCATGTATACAGTACCATAAATAATTAAGATTCTGTGTTGGTAAGAACAAAGCCAAATTGTTTTGAAATTTGAATACACTCTTACTTCTCTCATAACAGTATGTTTCTTGAGAGAGCCAACTTTCATTACAGCATGAATTATATGATTGAAACCCAGTATTCATGTTTGATCCATTCTCGTTTCTAAAGCTGCTGAACGAATCGTCTTTAGTTTTGTTTGTTTTAGCAAATTCATAATCTTTACCTTCAAATAGACTATGGAAAGCTGAGTCATTTAGGTTTGGAGAATTTTCTGGGGTAAGGAGGTTTTCACTTGCAATTAAACATTCAGGGATGGTGTCCCTTGCATAAAACAGTTTACAGGCATCACATAGTCTATAAAACGAATATGGTATTAAAATCTGTCATTTTTGTTGGGGTTTTGTACCTTGGAAGAGACTTAGGACCCTGCGGAATATTCGAGTCAGTGGGCTTTAGATATGATCGAATAGCTCCTCCATGATGTGGAAGTCTGTTTCGGCCCCATACAGGATGTGATGGGAAAATGCTCATTAGCTTCATCATAGTATAAAACGAAACCAAACATACTTCTTTGCAGCACCTATAGCTAACCACAGCTCGATAATCCATTCTAGCCCATAAAGCCTCTTTCTGTCGAGAAAAGCTTGACATTTTCTGTTGCCAAAATGAACCAAGAGCCCATGGAAAAATTTCATATTTGTGGTCTCCATCATCTTCTTCTATATCATGCACAAGATACCTTGATCGGAATACAAAAAAAGATGTCACACTCACAGACAGCAAAAAAAGTTCATTCTATTATATTCTTGAATTGAAAGATTACATCTTTTAAAATAGGCGAACACATAGGCGATCGCAAACTAAAATATCCAATGAAATTTCCATAAGCTTACATTGTCTGCACATTTAAAGCACATATCGAAGGCAAGAAACTTCTTAATTGTGGTATCCTCTTTGGATTAAAGGAAATTAATGCGAAAATTATCATACCCAGCAAATGAAAAAACGCTAT